TTACCTCTTCTATAGAGCAGACGCAATTACAGTGTATATTTTAGCAAATACTTCAAAATAGATTCAGCAGCAGAAAGCTGTACCCTACGTGCTTTGTGTTCAAATATCCTTGCAACAAACTTTCGTTTTAGGCCGACCTAGCCACGACCAGGCGAAACGTCAAAGATTATGAAAGATGTTATAATTAATTCACTCTTACGTTCTCCTAAACTTATCTCTGTGATATTTGTAACTGGTTCCCGTTAGCAAGTGCCAGGCAATAGAATCTCAGTGCACGCAGAAGTATCTTCTTTAAATTAATTTATTCGAAAATAAATTGCTTTTCAAAAATCAGATGTTGGCAGTCGAGTTTTTTATATTAATTTTTTTTTCACATCTGTTAATAATTGATGCTTTATCGAGAATTAATATCCAGAAAATATTGAAAGAAAGAACGAATAATCCTGTTGTTGGAATCTATAAAACCTTCAAGTTTCTTGAGCGGCAGGCGGTCGAAGATTCCTTAATTTCCCTGTTTTCATCAGGCCCCTGGTTCCTCCCCAGATCATCACGAATATGAAAAAGGAATCTATTAATAAAAATTTATTGGTTGCGTAGCACTGTTTGGCATTAAAAATTTTCAGCCGGAAATTATGAATTAATCAACATGGATTTGTTCATTATTTACCTCTGACATGATGATCAATTATAGTATGGAATTGATCGTCAACTACAATGAATTTACTGGCATTAGAATAAGAAATTTTGATGCATCTTTCATGGAAGATGATCCTAATGGTGAGGGTGAAAATGATTCATGGAGCAGTTGGAACTCAACGAGCGGTAGCCGCAGCACCGTTGCATATATGTAGCTGCCCTGACTGCACCACTGTACCTGCCACTAGTGTCCCATGTAGCTGGTACCTGCTAAGAAGTGAGCTAGTAGATTCACACACTTTGCTCAGCTCCAGTCTCGTTGTCGATCAAGCGAACGCTTCTTGCGACCACGATATGTCTATGAATTTCTTGAGAAGCACGGAAAATTCTAGTACAACTCAATGCAATAAGAAATATTGATCAGTGGCAAGGAATAAATCCAAGTTGAGGATCTCAACAGGCAAGCCTCGTTGATACGATATTAGAGTTTTGCTCATTTCTGAAGCAAGTCAGGTGATTTGGGGTGAAATTTCGTTGGCTGCAATCAAATATAAAATGGATTCTTTGCCTACACTCATTTACATGAAAACAGACATAATTCGTTCAAAATTGTAATTAAATAATAAATCTCAAGCTCCATGTACCAAGTCGTGAAAAAAAATGAATTCTGTGTTCGAGGTTTCACTGCCCACCCGACATCTGACGTAAAGATAACTTTGATTAAAAGTTGTTTCAACGGCATCAACTCGCGATTAACGTTGTTTCAACATCATTTGCTTGCAAAGTACATGCGTAAAAGTTCTTAAATGTGATGCCGGCCGCGTTCCGCGCGGTTCGGTGGCCGGTGAGCCGGAGCAGCGGAGCGAGCAGAGTTTCTCTTGGAGTTCCGGAAACGTGTGGATTGGTCCACAGCTGGAAGCCTGGGGGCAGTTACAGCCAATGGAGATATTCTGGTACCACATTGAATGGTTTCAACGTTTGTTTCTGAGTAATTAACAACTGCTCTTTTCCAGGATATTTGTATGTTGGTCAAGGAAAACGAAGGTACATTTGGTTATGGTCTTATTTTTTTTTTGAGGCCACACAATACAACACTTACGGTATCAAATATTTTATAGCCAATATCGCAACCAATTACGTCATTGGCTCATTTATTCGGCGGTTTAACCTTGAATATCCATGAAAAAGGTGAAAGTTCAAGACACACAAAAATGAACTGAAGCGAAAATAATTAGGTATTATGAAAACTATTTGATCTTTTTGCGATCGTTTTTCTGTTCTATAATCGATTTTATTATGTTCTTCAGAAGTTCTTAAACGCTTCCATGGAAGATTTTTAAAAATTATTAATAAGGAAAAGTTGACTGTGGAGTAAAATGAACGTGTACAGGGTATAATATATTGTCTAAGAGAAAAATTATCTCTGAATGTCACTGCTTCTCAGGATGAGACGAAACAATAACGACTTGTGTCGCGGAGGTCACGGTCGTGTAAGACGGAATTCTACTAAAGGCTTTGATTTGCCGTCTACGTGCTAAGATTTTCTTTCATAAAATGAACAGAAACCTGAGTCGGGTTGTAACTTGTACATAACACTCAGACTTTCTCGGTGCTTTGGCCCAGCCACCGAGCGGCCTTATAATATTAGCAGGTTTTTTATTCGATCAGAAAGTGGCGCGATGAGAGCGAAAGCGGCCAACGCTGTGGCCAAGTTTCTAAAGCGAGCCAAGAGTTCACTTAGAGTTTCTGTGTTACAATTTACTTCAGACATGACCTCAAGTTTTAGTCTGAATTTGAAACATTGCGTTGAAACTTATAAATTACAGAGCTTCAGTGACATTCCAAGTTATTAATTTTTTCCATAAGTGGAGTTTTAATTTGGCGACAAGTTTTCAAAATAAGTGAAATTATTAAAAATAAGAAGAATTAATTTTTATATCCATGAAATTAATACATTTTTGGTAAACAAGCGATATGGTTTGAAACTACGCTTCAATAAATACCGTACTCGATCTCTACTACCTAAACCCACATATCTTTCTATATTTCGGAAACCTGCTTAATTCGAATTACCCATTTAAAAAATAAATTAATAACAACAGTAGCGGTTTCAGCGTACATATTTAGGCCGTAGGCCTGTCGCCGTTTCTTAACCTCCAAGAATATTCGCAGCTTATTGTGTTCTCGAACACGCAACTCACTGCTCAAATTTTACTTTTAACCGCCCTGCATCCCCACCAATTACTGAATTGATTACATTCCCATCTTAGAAACATCTGTTCAATTCTTTACGTGGAAGGAACCTATTCCTGACTGACCAGAACTGTGGCATAGAGCCTGGGATCGTACCCGCACCTCTCTGCTCCGATCCATGGTACTCTGAACTGTCACCACTGGTCAACCCTGCCCCGTCTTCGTATAATTCACTACCCGAATTTCCTCATGGTATCGTGTGATAAATTACTCCTAAATTTCTGGTAGCTGATTAATTATTAATTTATCAGTATAGCTCTATAGTATCAAATTTCATCAGTTAAACTGTGTTCATATATACAATAAAATTATAAGCCCATAAAATATCTGTAATATTCTGTAAGACCATCATCATTTCAACGATCAGAACACCATATACATCAAACCATTACGCTCTCTACAGAGATTTATAACTTCAACCTCAATTCTGAAGCACGAGGAATGACTGGAGCATTGACAGAATATTTGGACCATGACGGCTCACGACTGTCATGTGACCGACCATAGCAACCTTACTGGCGGAGCGTTGCCTGCATTAAAATAGTTGCCATAAGATTTATTTAAATATTACGTTAGTACCTGTCGGGGCATGGACTAGAATGGATAATAAAATATAACTATACGCTTGTAAATATTTTCAATAAATGTACTTACACTGTACTTTAATTTTCAAACATGGACCTCTAGTTCATAAAATTAAAGTTTCTAGTTCTGTTGTAGTTCATACCTTAAAAATCGTTCATCATAAGAAGCGTCTATTAAAATGTGTACACTACACATTTTAAATTTGAAATCTTTCAAAATCACCTTTTGGCAAATTATTCGAATTAAAAAGTAACGTCCGAGACTATATTTATTCATCTCTTGATTTGATTTCTTTTGCGTTGGTCCATCATTTGTATTTCGCAAAAATGGGTTATTGCATTTATAGCCAATTTATTTAATCGCTCCGAATTGTAGGACGTAAATGACTAGACATATTACGAGGATATAAAAAATACCACCAAAGTAACTTAAGTATTTACGGACTTGAAGTCGGGAATGGAGATTTTTCATAAATAATCGTCGAATATTCAATATTATTATTATTTAATATTCAATATTATTATTCGTCAAAATTCAACGATTCCTTTTACTTCCCGCTGCACTTGACCTAATGTCACAAAACACTAAACTATACTATTCTCTACTATATTTACTCTGCTTTTCGGGTTTGCGTGCTTGTGAGACCCAGGCCAGCAAAGAAGAGCGACTCTGTTTATGCGGCGCCGCGCCTGACGATGACGCGACATAAAACTGAGCGGCAACGCTCACTGCGCTGCATAATTTAAGGCGTTACTAGAGCGCTGGCGGGACGCTATAGCAACGTCGCTCCTACGGATCTCTGGAACGAGCGATCGAGGCCAGGGAGGGGTGCACCCAATGCGCCTCTATTCGCCGCGGGCTGCCAGTTTTTCTAAGAAAGTATTTAAAACGTGTTTTAGTGATGCATAGGCAATAGTTCTCATAAAAGAGTCTTGCAGATATATTTAAGTATAATAGATTAAATGACTTTTTCATTGGGAAACGAGTTTTTTATAATTTTATTCGGAGAATTGTTCCTGGACTGAAAAGTTCAATTATTCAATATTGTGAATCAACCGTTTTGTTGGATAAGTCTGAGCCCGAAATTAATTTTTGTTCAACCTTTGGGTAATCAAATTTATTACAGTGGGAACCTACTCAATCTCTATTATTTCAAAAGCCCCGTTAGTTCGATAAATCAATTTCACTAATGTATTACACAAGTTGTTTACTCTAAGCTGTTTTATCGGTTTTTACGACTATAAATAACTTAGCGGAATTAAAGTTCATAACAAATTGAGATAAAATAATTTGCATTGAACACGCTTGTTATAGTTGTGCGGGATAACAAAAGTTAGCCCGCAACGCGCCTATATACGTACCAAATGTTATGAGAACTTTTTATGAGATATTAAAATAATTGAAAGAATTGATCTGAATCCGAAGTTTCTCGAATGATAAGCTGTACTGAAATATTGGGGAGAGAGAGCAGCAAGAAATATTGTTCTAGTGGAATAATTAGTGAATAATTGTTTTTATCTCGGCAGATGCGTCGAGTGCTTATCCTGCTGTTGGTGTTGGCTGCTGTTCACGCTGAAGCCAAAGCTGAAGCCAAGGCAGAAGCCAACCCCGAACCTAAAGCTGAGCCCAAACCTGAACCAAAAGCTGAGCCAAATCCTGAACCAAAACCAGAAGCCAAAGCAGAAGCTAAAGCAGATGCAGACCCCGACTACGGCCCCCCTCCAACATACGGTCCTCCTGCTCCAAGCTATGGCGCTCCACCAGCGCCTTCTTATGGAGCGCCTCCAGTCCCTTCGTACGGACCTCCTCCAGTGCCAAAGAATACCTGCCCAAAGAAATGCTACGACAAAATCTTTTACACAACCCTCACCAAAACTGCCATGGAGCATCACACACACTGGAACACATACGACCAGGTTTGCTTAAAAAATTATAATTTCTAATGTTATTTTAGTTACGACCAGGTTTGCTTAAAAAAATATATATATGTATATTTGTTATTGTTATTTTAGGAACACAACATTTATTGTGAATTTACTCTTTAGGTCCAATTTTGCATGCAGAATTTTGTGTATTTTTAAAGCCTAAATAGGTGGAACTCAGTAGTACAAATCTGCATATCCGTTTATATGTTTTTTTAGTCATTCACCGCGCTGTATACTAATTGAGCGTGTTTGTGAAACAGTGTAATTTCATGGTTATTCATCTGACTGATTAAGTAAAAATACATATTATTTTAAAACTATCAAATTTGTGTCTTGTCTGTACGATTGCTAAAATTGGTGTTTACATCACAGCTGGTGCCGTACACTCTGTACAAGTACGTGACTGAGACGCTGTACTACCCCACTACAGTCGTGCAGTACGAGTTCATCACTCAGCCGCTGCCTGATCAAGTCATCTACGAGACCAAAGTGAGTGGCAAGTTCTGTTAACTTTCCATTACTCCATGGAGACGGTGGATAGGAATTGAGTCATGAAAGAAATATATGGTGAATAGGGATATGTTATGTTATAGAATAATTATACGGTGGATGGGGTTGTGTTAAGTCAAAAAATAAATATCCGGTGAACAGGGATAGCTAAGAGTCCTAAAATGAATAAAAACTCCATACTGATATTTTAAATCATAAAATATGTTCACGGTAGATAGGGTTATCTTAACTCATAAAATAAATTTACATATATTTCTGTCAAAGTCAGAAAAGTCGTTGGTTTCCTTTCCCCTTTCACTATATTTGAATTATTCTGGGAGAGTTTGTTCTTACTTTCGTTTGTATCCGGTATTAAATTAATTAATAATAATAAAATAAAACAAGTTTTGGACAAATTTGTTTCTTCTAAATGTGATCAAAGAAAGTTAGGAGCAAGTTCTACTGATGAATATTCGTTGCCGTACTTGTACTCAAATTTGGTATCACAGCTCCTTTAACTGTATTGAAAATATATGTTTTGAACTAGACCTGGCATTTGTCCACGTTATCATTATTGCCATGAATAATAATGCATTGTACAATTCTGACTTCCCTAAATAAATCTTTCGGCCTTCTCAGAATTTTACTGCTTTGTTTCTTTCAGGTGGCCTACAATACCGCCAAAATCAACAAGATCCAAGTTGAGACCAAGCAAGACTACATGCCGGGCACACACTACTACATGAAGACACTCACCGAGTCACACTACTGCACGCACACGGCGCAGGTGAGTCATCAAGACACTCACTGAGTCACACTACTGCACGCACACGGCGCAGGTGAGTCATCAAGACACTCACCGAGTCATACTACTGCACGCACACGGCGCAGGTGAGTCATCAAGACACTCACCGAGTCACACTACTACGCAAAATTGAAATGTTATGAAGAAAAGGCAAGTCATTAAACAAGGGATGTTAGTCAAACAGAAAAAAAAATCATGGCGTGTTAAAGACCGTTGAATTCCAGTCGAAACTTCTCCGTCATCCTATCAAAATATTTTTCATTTAGTTTAGCAATAATGAGACCCTAATATTGATGATAAAACATTTTAGATTTCCAAACAAAAATTCCTACGTTTGAAATTGATCAAGCGTTGTTTTTAACAGCAAAAAGAAATTGTCTTTTGTCATGGATAAGAGTGTTCTGAAATTTCGGGAATGAATGATTCTTTCGCATCCAGATTTCCCCAAATGTATAGGAAAAGTAACACATGAACCTGATATTATATAATAACTTTACTTTATTTTCTAACATTAAAATTTTTCAGGTTCCATATTACGTGACTGTGACACAGAACGTGTACAAAACAGTTCAAGAGCCACACTACGTCACAGAGACGAAGATTGAGCAGCACTACGTCTCTGTCACGGAGGACGAGCCTCACTACGTGGCTCAGACTCAGTACGCCACTAAGGCAAACTATGTCTACGTGACAGTGACAGAGACGCAACATGGCTACGCCACCATCACACACACCGTCAAGAAGCCCGAGTACAAGACCGTGTGCCCCAAGCCCAGCTATGGCTCCCCTAAGCCCAGCTATGGCGCGCCTCCCCAGCCCAGTTACGGTGCCCCTGCAGGCTACGGCAGCATGGGTTACTAGCTCCTCTAAGAGATACTCCTTATCTACTGCGGGGTTAGTATTAGTTTAGAATATTTTAGAATCGGTGCCAACTATGATTCGTTGCCATTAATTTTGTAATGGGGAAACGACACTCGATATGCATATACTAGAATTTACCAGTTATAAATTTTCACCGTACATCATTTGACATTTTGAAACTATTAAAGTTGAGACTGGCACGCAACGTCTAGGGTTACTGCATTTCAAACATTGCTGCATGAAAAATTTTCCCAACTATTTTTTCGACGATATTTGACAGGGTTTCTTCCCTTAAAAATACTTTTTTGACTTCAGTAACGATTCATCTATTTTAATTCAAGGACAACTGTTTACTTGCACAAAAATGGAGAGAGCATTTTATTTTTGACAAATTCGTTCATGCACAGCCATTGTTTTTCATTATTACTATGTTTTTGCTCATTGATATCAGCAAAAGCATGTTATCACCGCCACCGTTTGAGCCCCACTTCTTATTTCAGGAGACCAAATCAGCGCGGCGGCTCCAGTCAAATCCAATGTCTCAACGATTTTTACGAGTGATATCTTCTGCTGGACTTCCCAGCGTTACGAACGACATTAATTTTATTATGGAAGATTACTAGAAAGTTTTGAGATGTTGAACGTTTTTGTTCAAGAACGGCAATGCCCAAGTAAGAATATTGGCATCTCATCTTCAGCATTTGCCTATTTTTGCTCAATAGCGTTTGAAGAATTTCAAAACATTCTAGTATTCTTCAGTTGTTACGCACACAAGTCACCCGAGGGTTAGCAGTCCCATAGGTATTTACATGGAAAGTCAACTTAAGGGAGATTTGTTTTTAAGTCAAACAACTTTTGTTCCTAAAGTTCGATGTTTTCCTTCCTTCGAACGAAAAGTACAACGAAAATAATCTTAAGGCGGCGGTAGCGTACGACAGGTGTTTGGGCAGAGCATCTGTTTCGATTAAGGAGAAATGTAAACTATAAAAGGCAGCTTGTTGAAACTTGATTGCATTTCAGTCGAAGTAGAAATTGTGTTGTTAGTAAGCTGTGTCAGATGATTTTGACCCGTTTTGTTATACTATGTTTGTTTCTGGACGTGAAGTTTATCACCCTACCAAGAATTCTCCTTTCTGCAAGGAAAGTTTACCTGAATTTACGAAATTGTAACATAATACGCCACAAACTTGAGCCAGTTTCGCAAAGATATTGAAAATGTAGATACCAATAATTATTTATATCTTGCTGATTCTCTCATTGACACCAATTCTGAAAAGTTAACTCGACTCTGGATCAAAAGAAATTTTATTTATATAGGCAGCGTTTGGGCGAACGTTGTCTATAGCATTTCATTTGATCCCAAAAGTCGATTCATTTACATTCACCCTTCAAATGGGTTCCAGACATTTTGAGTTTTTCGCTAAAAATTTATTTGTTCTTCAAATTTGAAAATAAGAACTTTAGAATTTGAACTTTATAATAGTGAACTTTAAGCAGGAGCGTTTTTTCGCAAACTTCAACATGAGATGGCGATAAGAAAATTTTACAGAAAAACTATTCTTACGTTTCTTTTGACCGTTGTATGTATCCAAAAATGAATTATACGTTTTCTTTCATTGATTTTAGCTATAAGTCTAGAGTTATATCTTATTTTAAATTGTCAACGTACTTTACAAAGGATTTGCTTGCAATTTGTTATGTCAACTACTCCTAGCGAACAGTAATTATTGTAAACGCGTTTGGTTATGAATTAGAACCAAAAATTTGTGTTGTGCAAAGTATATTCGCAACAAGTTTCACTTCAGTTGAAAACACAATTTAGCGATTGTTATATCAGGCATGGCTCTATTACTGACGAGTTTTCAGAGCTATTGTATTATATTGTTGTAAATACTTTTTGAGATTGAATGTATGGGAGTGTGTTTGAGTGCGCGAGTGTAAACCTAGACCGTTTTCCGCGGCCGTCATTCACCCTCGTAAAGCATGAGTTAAAATTCTGTTAGTTCTTCCGTGTTGAATCAATTAATGAAATAACCCGATGTTTCACTGCCCCTAGTGTTTTATGCATATCATAGAAATTGATATTAAACAATTAAATGGGATATCAAATCCGAATATTTATTTGTATCAGCTGCAGAGTTAATAGAAGTTAGGGTCAATTTTAGAATGCCCTACTGAAATTTGGCTATGCAATTTTAAAATTGAATGCTGACTTATGACGATAATGACAACAAAAAATTTTAATATAGCGTCCAAAATTTAGTAATATAGTAATCCAGTCATTCCCATAATTCTCCCGTCGCCAGTTGACATAATGTTTTAAATTATTGAGCAGATGATGTTGAATGAATGCGCCGCATGTTCAGTTATGTTATTGTTTCGCGATTATTTCTTCTCTGGCGAGTCTTAGTTGTGTCGAGTTGCGACCTTTTTTGCATTAAATATTATTGTCGTTAAAAACTATTTCAAAGCGTATGAAGCTATTTGAACTTTGATAAAAGTTAAATGGTTTCAGCCAACAAAATTTTGCACAACAAATTCAATTATCAATTTAAGATTTGAATGGATTATTTCTCATGTTTTAGTTCACTAAATAATAGTTAAGCAGCCTCGCAAATGCTTTATGACTTCTTTCGTTATTGCATGAATCAATTAATTGTACATGAATGGATCAACTGCGGTCCTTGATGTTAAACCAATAAAATACTACAACTTATTACACTTTTCGTAACCTTATATAAACTATATGTGAGCGGTGTCTTATCGGCCACCGAATTACATTTTCATCTAACTGACAATAAGTTTGTCGTGTCTCACGTTTGTGCAATGATCTTATTTGGTGATATATACAGGATAAATTAAACACACGACGAGAATTCAATTATCAGCCTGAAATTGTATTCCGACTTCGATATATTATTTCCAACTGGAGTCACGAGTTAAATATAAAATAAATTTTCGAAATAAAATACGATTAAATCGACTGTGGTTGTAGTCGCATGCCATCCTTCAAGCCTATTTTTAGCTCAATACATCACACATGATAACATATTTCAGTGGTCTGGATAAAAATTGCTTAAGGCCTCCTGGAAATACCCCTTGCCACTTTCACAATGAGATATCCCAAAGGTCTGGTAAGTATTTTTAAAACATTTTCATTGTCAATTGCAAGACTATTTCAATGTATTAGTTACATCTAGGCTTCATTAATGGAAATCTGAATTTTCTATTGTGAGAATCTCTTCGGATTCTCTATTGTGATTTTCATCTTGAAAGCCTGTGGCACACAGGGCGGTGGTCGTCATGCGAGAGAAAAGATTAGTTTTGAGAAGGAGTAGTGCTAAACTATATTATATTATTTATATATACGAGTATGTGTCACTGAGGAGGATATCTGGTCAACAATAACCGTTCTACCATTACATTTGTTATCATCCTATAGAATACAATTGTCATTTAATCAATCAATCAATGCTGCTTCTTCATGAAGAGCTGACGTTGACGATTCAATTTTAATGGAACTATTTTGAACATAAATATTTATACTTCTACTGGAATAATGAACATGAAAGCTTCGACACATCTACTCTCGATTAAAGTAATGACTTCCTGTAACACTCACCGTCCACGCCGTTTGACGGATTTTTTTGCGTACACTTACTTATGTTTCCCATCAGAGCTACGGCATCCGTCCGCGCTGACCTTGAGCACTTCGTATGCAAATATTTTAATTAGTTTAAACGCGTGCAAGTAGCTTAGTTTCCCTTCAAATATCCACGAAATTTTCTGCTGGGCATTCACATTATTCATGAATGGGAATTTATTCATTATATTCCTGGTAATTCGCATTAGTTCGCAGAACAAATTTCTAACGGAGGTTCATTTAACGGGTCTTCACTACGTCGAACTGCATTGGTGAGCTCGGGTATATAAGGGAGGCCATGCAGTGAAGGCTCAGTGTGAGTATGGATCAGGTGTGAGATGTAGACGTAGTTTCGCCGTGCGTAGCTCGTGCAGCGGCAAGCGTCACCAGACCATCAATGCGTCGTGGAAAGTTATCCATCAGAGAGGAACGTCAGGGAAAGATTTACATAACACATTGTCTCGAGAGGCGCATTTTGTTTTTTCAAAAATGGGGTAATTTTTTTTTCTTGACAAAGGAGTGGCCTCTTCCGAGATAATGTATTGCGAACATTTTGCTGAATTAACAGTGATATCATATATCAAGCTGGTTGAGTTTGATCCTCTGAATCTTCTTGATCGCCATCTTACTTTAGAACATGCATTAGGTAGAGGCAAAATCATAATTTGCAATTGAAGTAGTCGATACTTTCGTACAAATTCAGCTCCTAATCAGCTAAATTTTAAAAGTAGTGATAATTATTAAAAAATTGTCATCAAGATATTCATATTTTTTTCAGTCAACGATTGCTGCCAGAGATATCGTTATGCCTATAAGGTCCCTGCCACAAGACAGCTATGTTCACCTTGAAGGTCTGCAGCATAATTTGCTCCCTCACTTCCAGGAATCGATTTTGTTTTTTCTAGGAAGCGCTGGATGCGCCTGCCACTTCTCGCAGATTTGGCGGCATGCAAGTTGCGTGAATTGCAGTGCGACTGTGACTGACTATTTAGTTACTAAATTCACACATATAAATAATTATGTATTAAATACCTAAATAAATACATAAATATATATGTATTAAATACATAATTAAATATAATTGATTAATTATACTACATTCATATAAAAATATATACATAATAAACTCCTGTTCAGGAATTTATTTCAGTAAGCGTGTCGTTGTTGTTATTAATTTCTTCTCATTACCTTTTCGTTAATTCTTGTTAGTATTTTTTTATAAGTCTCGTTTTACAATCATGTTTCAACATTTAAATAGTTGATCGATTGTTCGGTTTTAGCTGATAGCAGGTCATTTGCTATAATATGACTTCGTCTCTTATAGTTTAATCATGTTTGTTGAAGCAACAAAAAACTAAGAACACTTTTAGGCACGATTTTTAGCGCATTTTCTCATCTATGGAAAAAATGCACTATTTTGCTCGCCATGTCCGTCTGTCTGTCTGTCCGTGACCTCAAGTTTTCGTTGACGAGAAAATGCGCTCTCTGTCACTCACTGCAGTGAGTACTGAGTTATATTTTTACACATTGTGCATAATACCCGATCTCAAAACATGGAAGAGACAAATCACACACTAAGTGCACCTTAAGTACAGCTTAGGAAATGTACATGAGAAAAATGATTCCTGTAGCTGGAAAACTCAGCGCATATGCGTGTTGGTTTATTCGAAGCCTTACCTCGTAAATATACAGGAGCTATTCGAGCGTGTATCCACGGCTCTAAGCGCGTCGGAATATTGCCTGGATCTCGACTATTATTAATAGTGGGGAATATTAAGGCAAGGCAAAACGGAAGAAGGGATACAAAATTAAACAAATTTTAACACATATACAAATGATAATTGTTTCGAGTTATAATTTATAATTATCCACCAAATCCAGATTTTGAATCACGTGAATAGAAAGAATAAGTCACTCGTTTCAAGTCCAAACTGTAAACTCACGCTAGTGGAGTGCTTTGGTCTTCAAATTCGAAGCGTACGTGAGTGAATCTCGGTCTTAAAAAATAGAATTACTCATCATCGGCGAGCAGTTAACTTACTTGACCAGACTATTAATATGAATGAATGTACGATGATACATAATAAACAAAAATTTATCGTTAGGACGTCAAACCGCGAAACGCTCTTCAACGTCAAATCACGTAATGCTAGAGCACTCAAGTAACTATTAGCACTATTATAACGCGCCGTGGGCGCTTATAAAGGTTCGAACTGAAAACGCCACGTCAGACTCGCACTGGATGGGAAAACGCAAACTTGCGAGAAACTTTTAGGGTAAACAATAGCTTGCGATAATTTCAATTCCAGTCATCAATTCATATTGCTAAGCACAATTATCATTAGTTAATACAGGCTTAGTACTGGTCGCACGTGAAAACATTACGTAAACTAGGACAAAGTTAGATATCAATTACGCAATCACCGAAAGTATCGATATTGTAAATTATTTTCATATTTAATGTCTGCAATCCGGTCAAAAAAGCAAGTGAATCAAGCTAAATGTCAGAAGCGAAATGTCAAAATTAACACAGAAAACACTTTCGGATTTTCCACCCTCTTTGGTCCAGTCAAGGCCTTAAAACGTATAAGTCGCGCATCCGCTGTCGAGCGGCTATAGAGAACGCGCTGCCTGATGCACTATATGACCTAAATAAAGCGTGTAACCATGCAGTGACATCAACGACGCAATGGTGACTGTTGTTGTATGGTGGTCGTAAGCCTTGGCTGTCTAACTCACAGGGCCGTCGAAACTTATTTTAGGTAATTGGGAAATAACTTCACTGAATGAATAGGAATCGTTAAATGTGATGGGTTTATTTCATATTTTGGTAGCCCTAGACGGATTTGATCGAGGTAATGAAGGAAGGGCATTTGCATTTTAGACGCATATTCCACTATTTAATACTCTTCTTGAATTATCGTTAGAGTTCTGTTTTTTCCAATAAGTTTTCTGTAACTGGAATCTGCTTAATTTTTTCTCGATTAAATACTAAGGAAATGTGCATAGAAGAGAATGAAGAAAATTCGGTTCCGTAGGTTACCATTCGTGACGGCTGATCTCAGTTCCTATAAATACATTTGTTAGCTTCTACTAGTGTAATCGGAATAAATTGTCAATTTAACATTGAAAATTAGTGTAAAGCGTTGAATTTCAGGATATTCCATCTTACATGCATTAAAATTGTATGATGAATAACTTTTCTGTCGAAGTGTAATTTCAGTGCAGGAAAGTAGCTGCGCATATAGCTCAATGCATCCTAGAGAATTTATATTATATTTATATCCATTTACCACTTATTTTAAATATTTTTACTATGCTCTCGTAAAAAGACAGCGAATGTGTTAATTGCCTGTGTTAGCAGACTCGGTAAAGGGAATATTCTCACCAGATATAATTTTTTCACCTGAATTTAGTTGATGCTTATCAACACAGGGGTTTCCCCTCGAAAACTTGCTTGAATGAAGTTCCTAGAAAAATTTATCTGAACACCACATAATACTAACTGACAATTTCTCGGAAATCTACATCTTTTTCAATAGTTTTAATATCAGCGTGATGGCAAATATTAACTTATTTTAAGTCAAGTAGAGTAGGTGAATTGATTTATAGAAATGTCTCACCAGGAATACACAAGGAGTAACAATACAGTACAACGCGTGTTTGCTGTTTTTGGAATTCAATTACATATATTCGCTCACCTAATTTACGTCTGCCGTCACAAATTGATAAATAGTCGCCTAACTTTTTTCTATTAAAACAAAAGTCGTCAAGCACGGAATTAATTCAAACTGAACCCGACCTCAGCTGAACGGAAAGCCACTAATGCATTTTTTCAAGCACTATAGTGCGCTCGAATTCTTATTTTCGTGCAAGTCTTGAGGAAGAATGGCACGATGTTATTGAATTGTTGTCATGCAGCGCAACGCTGTCAAGCGTAAGCCTACAATAAGTCCATTCGTTCAGTAAAGGTTCGACGTCTATCCATTCTTAGACGTGCAGCGCCGGCATTGTGATCAGTTTGCCAGGGTTACAGTTCAGTGAACTCTGTGCTTGTCGGTGCTTGAGGTCCTAACTTCCTCTGCATTGTTTGCTTTGGTCAAATTTTCGATGCATAAATAAAAAAAAGGTCATTATTATTTTTAAAAAAATATTGGCTGATGACGATTCGCTTTATAGAATAAGGTCAAATGTATGTTTACATCATCCAAATCACTGTCGATTTCGTCTTCATATAGTTTTAATTTACATTTCCTTGTGTAGAGTTCAACTGGACGCATAACAAACTAAGTTCAATTAGCATGTAATTTTTTCGTACTTGAATGACCTATCCGGCTTTTTGTGTTGCAAGGAACTTTAATTTCAGGATGAAGTGACTTGAATTGAATGTCATACGAGGATCCGTTACGCTGCGGTTATTATCCATAATATTACGATTATGACAATCACAGGCAAGTCGACAACGTAATTGTAAGTGTACCGCGCTGTGGGCGTGCAGCGGGTACGCAGGAAAATGATTGCGAGGAAGCGAATCAAATGGATTTCCCAAATATTCTTTGTCAATATAGTCAAATATTCTTTGGAAGCTGGCAGCATAACCCGGCTTGGCCCGTCATATAGCTATTTTCTGAGAGTTTAGAATCTCGATACATGGAATCCTTTAATATATACTAAATATATACTAGACTTGAATCTAATAGATTATAACAAGAAATAATTTTACATTTCATTCACACATCTTCAATTTTACAATACCTCATGAATAAAACTATAAACAAGATTCAAGGTTCAGCTACTTATATGATTCGATAAATGTCGTGTAAATGCTCTCGGTTGGCTCCTGGGTATTTAAAAGCCCAGGCCCCAAAACTCACAGACTGAACCTATATATAAGCGCACCGCTTATAAATTAGCTGTTGCTTGGAAACGTTAAAATACAAAAATTTCCCGAGTGTTTTAAACTTGAAATCAACAGCTTTGGAAACTGAGCTTCAGCCCTCTTTCATCTCGATTGCCTAGTAAATTAAAAATTGTCATGACTTTACAAAATCTACACTTTACGTTGAAAAACAATCAATAAGTGCTACCATCTAATGTGTACCACAGCCATTGAGACTCCAGTTGAGTAGGAAGTGAAGCTGTTTGTGAAGTTGATTAGGGAGTGAAGGGTTATAAATTAAATGTATGAAGCATAATAGTAAGAAGAAGAAGTGTAGCATAGACATTTTTATAATCTTTAAATGGTTATTGAGTAAAATTTCACGTAATACGAAATCTGAAGCAAAGCCGTGTATCTCTAAGATGAACGTAGGATAAAAACGTCACCATCAGAATATATTATAGGGGAAATATAAATTACAAACAGAGTTCACAAGGTACAGACATGTCGGAAAGACGAGTAGACGTGACTGCTCGTCATTCATCGTTGAAAATTATTCGTAGCAACGCTCCGTTGTTAACCTTCCATTGTCTTGGCATGAAATCACATCCAAAACTTTTGCTTAGAAGTATCTCTTACAAAATAGCTCTATATATGTTTTAATTTTAATCCACACATTTGTGTGTTGGTCTGAACTTTTCCTTGTCGCAGCAAGTAACCTGTCAGAAATAATATTCTAAAAACACATGTATACTAAATTGAAATTAAATTTTGTAAAAGTTTGATACTACGAAATTTACTTATTTGCATTTTCTTAAATCCAAGTTAATATATGATAACATTTTTTATTTTGTGTATGCAAGAAATGATTTTCATTTGGGTGCTATGGTTCTTGCAATTTGAGGTAAATGGATACCAAAATAAATGAAATCGTCTTGGCTCAACATTGAGACTAGTTAATGCAGTGAGAGGAAAATTTCTTGGTGTATTTCATGTTTAACTAACTGACTAGATACGAACAAAATATTTTAAAATGAATACTCCATGAATATATTGCATAATTAGACAGTAATGTATTTTAAGGCATTTAGAATTAAATTCTCTCGTTGCTATTTCATAAATCTAGCCTTACTGATTAATGATTAGTGAATGGTAAAATTACCTGCCCTTACACAAAGCTTTTAAAGCGCTTGCATGAAATGCATTAACTCAACAACTGTAATCATATTATTGCCCCATTTAGCGTCAAGGTCAACAGAAAAGCACGCGCCGCAGCAATTTACTGATTATAGCTCTTGCACCTGCAAGCACTGTGTACAGTTATCGCTCTATCCCGGAAGTGCAAAACTATCGTCCTTTAACAGAGACTGTTTGCTTGAAAAATACGGAAAATCCACTGTTATTCTGAAAATCTTTTCATATAATAGAATTTTAGAGGGATTCCTGAGATGTTATCGTTAACGTCATTAAGTTGAAACTGAATGAGCAACCTCAGAGGGGTTTCCTTCATGAAATCTATGATAACCAATAATAATATAGGGGACGATATGCAAGAGCTTCATATTAGTTCCCGCTGATTTACTTACAAAATTGCCCGAAAGTAAATTTAATTTCTCAAAGCTATGACGATATCTATGTTAAATTTTCATTAATTTATATAGAAAGAACGATTGAATGTTATTATAGGAGATAAATAGAGGAGCTTAATTGCAATACGGAAGACGGAACATTTAATATCGTTCTTACCCCGCCTTAGCTCGTTTGTTTTCATAACTATTGCCATTGCACGGAATTATTATTATGTATTTTTTTGCCTCAGTCTAGTGTAATATTTCGCAAGACACAGTCTATTGAGCACCAAAAAATATATTAAATTATAACTCACCATTATTTTTGAAAGGTAATCAGAATACAAATAATGTAATGCCAGTAACCTTAGATATTAGTCCCCTCCAAATATTCGTACTAATTTACAAAAGGCGGCATTTCATTCAACCATTATTCTAAAATTTTTACGACGATATTATTTACTAATTTTTTTTTCAAAATAATCAACTTGTTGACTCAAAAACTGTAGTAATACATTTATGTGGTGAGAAATAAATACTGGACGAAATGAATACCACTTCAAGTAATTCGGTTACGATAGGTACACATGGTGGCATAGGCGAGTGGGATCGTCAATGCTTCACGGTATCAAGTATCAACTTCAATTTGAGTTCGAAATACAGCCTAAATTAAATTATTACTTTAATATTGACAGTAACTAGAATTGGAGGAACTAAAAAAACCGCTTTGGTAATGTTATCGAAACGGATGAAGTGTTAATTCGATAGCGGACTTGGCCTCTGCATCGGAAAACGGATTCAAAATTATTTATATGAAATCTCTGCTCGAGTGTTGTGATTTGCTATTTAAATTTTTCCTTTTAATTATTATATACATTCCATTAACTACACGTGATATAATTCAACTTATTTGAATGATGATTCTACGTTCCCAGAGATTCGAGTACAGTATAAAAACGAAAATAAGCAATCTTGAATTGATGCATAGCATTGGAGTTTTGAGTTTAGTTTGAATTTTGATTCTTTGACTCTGACGTTCGCTGTACCCTGGCGACATGGGCGCTGGCGAACATTTTGGCGCCGTTGATTATGGCATGCTGGCAGTCACGATGCTGGCTTCTGTGGCCATCGGAGTTTATCACGGCATCAAAGGCAACAAAACAGCTGTTGATTTCTCCATGGGGAGCCGCTCCATGACGCCATTCCCGGTGTCCCTGTCTCTACTTGCAACGTTCCTCTCAGCTAATTCAATTCTCGGTACTGAATAATACTTCTGATGAATAATTTCCTGTATTTTTTTGTCTCTGGGTATGTAGCTCCTATCCAAAATATGTAGTATTTATTATTTATAAGCATGCTAAATTTCATTATGTTTGTATTCACTCTGCTTCAACTTAAAATTGAACTAACGTCATAAAAAATGCCCAGTAACCACCGATGAAACACCTCGAGGTGTGGTGAGGTACATCCAATATAAAAATCAGACCCATACGAATTTCGGTTGAAACTAATTCTATCATCTGACAAATAGACTGTAAAATTCTTCTTTACTGCCTATTAAACTTGGAATTTTTTCGCTATTTTATTTCTTTTGAACGATTTGATATTTTCACCCAAAAAATATGGTTTTAGATTTTCAAAACGTGCGTCTTTGCGCAATAAAACTGTAACTAAAACGACATAAGACGTTTATTGTTGGATTGCAGGTTACTCAGGAGAAGTGTACGCCCATGGCAGCGTGCTCGCTTGGTCGATACTTGGCACGGCTTTGGCCATCGTCTTCGCTGGAGAGGTCGTTTTGCCGGTCCTGCATCCGCTGAAATTCGTCAGCCCGAATCAGGTTGAGGAAATAACTTATGTTCATTGAAATGATCAGCAGTTCAAATACTTGTTTCAATACAGGTTTCAAGTCAGGGATATGTTTAGTTGAGGAAAGTAATGGTAAGCGACAAAAGAGTGTGCGGTAGGAGTTCACTCCTTAGTAGGTTTTTCGGCTAGTAACGGCGAAAGAAAATTTTTTTAAATTGTCTTCAAGTCATTCTAAATGTCTGTCAGTTTCTGGATACAATTGGATGTACTGGATACAATTGGATGTACTGGATACAATTGGATGTACTGGATACAATTGGATGTACTGGATACAATTGGATACCTGGAAGTACCACATACTCATTGGATGTATGTGGTGTTCTGTAACTGCATTAAAATTCAATTGAGAGGTACAGATAGACATCTATTACTTCTTTAGGGGGTAGCAATAAGCCGCAATAAAAAATATAATTCAGTACTCACTGCAGTGAGTGACAGAGAGCGCATTTTCTCGTCGACGAAAACTTGAGGTCACGGACGGACGGACAGACGGACGGACGGACAGACAGACAGACGCACATGGCGAGCACAATAGTGCATTTTTTCCATAAATGAGAAAATGCGCTAAAAATACGTTCTCGTTGTCAGTTGCAAAATTTTTTAATTTGCACTCGCTATTTTGTATTACAGGAGAGAATCCGACCACGCTCGACAATAATGAAACGAGGCTAGTATAAATGCACGAAAAAAGTACTCATCTAGCCTGCTGCAAAATACTCAAATGTAAGCCGTCATAAACGCTTACATGCTTCTGGAATGCAATATAATTGAAAGGTGAATGGTTTTGGCAGTACCTGGAGGTGCGGTTTGGCTCGGCATGGCTACGGCGGTTGTCTATGACCATGTCTCTGGTGAGCATCACGGTGTTCATGGGCCTCGCTCTGTACGCCCCCACGCTGGCCCTAGCAGCTGTCACTCCCCTCTCGTCCACCACCTTCATCTGGATAATGGGAGTTGTGGTCACCCTCTACTCCTCATTCGTAAGTTGGAATCAACTCGTATCACCAAATTAAAAAAAATCAATTAACAAAGAGAACTAACCTAACTCCTGGGCATTCATAGCTATAAAAGCCTCATTCCAAACAAATTACTTAACAACTTTCAACCTGGCCCCCTTGCCATTACTATTAACACTGAACAACGGTGGATCACAATAGAAACCACCAGTGTGGCTTCACGCATAGGCTACATTACCTCATTTAGAATAAGCTCTAGCATCGCCCATGGACGTTTCGTGGTCACCGAGATTTGCAATGGATAAAAATTTAAGAGAATGTTCAAAGACGTGCAACAAGGATAATTCCAGGCTTGAAGGGCAAGTCCTACGAAGAAAGATTCCCCCTACGAAGATTGAGGTCCCCTACGTCTGCGTGGGGACCTCATTGAAGCATATAAGTATACTCATGGTTTATACAAGATCCCCGAAGGATTACTAGAATTTGAAACAAGAACCAACACCAGGGGCCACGGCTATATACTAAAAAAACTGCACTGCAACTTGTCCACGCGACAGCATTTCTTCTCGCTTCGAATCACCGACATGTGAAACAACAGACTCCCCGATTACATCGTTGGCGCTCCGAGTATATGAACGCGTTCAAGAACAGACCAGCTAGATAGAGCTATGGAAAAATATATGTTCAGACTTGAAAGGCCTAGCACCATATCGAACCCTGTAGAAGTCTAGTAGCTATTTCAAACTTTCGTCAGTCCTGAAAAGATCCGGTCAAATGACACGATTTAAGATCTTCTGTGAACAAGTCACGAGAAGTACAAGAATCGGCGACAGGCCACATCAGGCCTACTCTTCAGCGCCGACATCACAACATGTTGTGTTGTGGAAGCACTACATCGCCATATAGACTTCTTCAAGAAGCAATCACTCCATCAGAACACGTCTCAATAAAAGAAAAAATCTGTCAATATAACTCGCCAACGACAATCCACTCCCATCAATACGCAGCTCACCAAGCAAATCACACTATACAATAGATCAATACACATGAACAGAAGTATAAAATAGAAACCAATGCAACAAACTTCAAAATAATCCATATTCATCGAAAAAAGCCACCGAAATCTTTATTGTTGAAGAGTATTTCCCCTTGCGTAAACAAAGGCACAATTCTGCATCTGTATACAACACACTAATCACGTCATAACATAGCCCGATCAAGATCACAAAATGTTCAAGATTCGTCAACCTTCCTCATCACCTAAATTACACGTACAGTTTATACATGGCCCTCGTCCGATCATTAGTCTACTCATCCATACCATAAAACACTATGTCTACTCAACCATACCGAAACACACTGTCGCCGAAATCTAAACTGCATAACCAAGCACTTAAATTTTTAACCAACATTCACTGGTTAGACTTTACTTTCCAATCACTACAAGAACTATGCAATATACTCACTATTGGAACAGTCCTTCACGGATAGGCTCGTAACATCTGGCATTAAATTTAAGGAAAAGAACCCGACCTTTTCGACCAACTCATATAGCTACCCGTGGTACTTATGTGGTTTATCTCTTGATGCATGCGCTCTCCCTAAACATTTCATATTAGCGGCTTTCCATTCGTGTAACTTTTTATTTGTCGAGCTTCTGTCTCCACATTTTTTTTAGATAGGACTGCAATAACCACTCACCTTTGTTCTCGGTTCCTCCCCTCCTCACCATCATGCCAATAGACAAAACGATTTTAGGAAACACCGAGGGACACAAACGGTATTAGCCAATTTCACGTAATGCTCGCCACTAAGTCGAGCTGTACTCAGTCTTGCTGATGCCTATAGCGCCTTTTACAGTCGGTGGCTCAAGCCAAAAGCTAACGCGTTCCCATAACATTGTGATTTTCAGGGCGGCCTAAAGGCAGTAGTATGGGCGGACGCATTCCAAATGTTGCTAATGACTGCAGGAGTGTTGCTGGTGACGGTCATGTCTTGCGTCGAGGTGGGCGGTGTCCAAAAAGTCTGGCAAGTTGCCTACCAAGGAGGAAGAACTGAAGGACTCGAGTAGGTGAACTCTTTCAACTTTTGGTTCTTCTAAAACTTCTTTTGCACTATAATTATTCAATATTTTCCAAGGCTTGTTTCTATTTGCCATGATCGTGGGTATGAAGAGGCTCTTACAATAATTTCTCTATAATAGATATCTTTGGCCACAAAATTGCTGCATGGTTTCGCTTATCAGAATTTGGGAAACGTTCAATTTTCATCGAGTGTTCGCATTACTGCTAGCCATCTCCTAAAAATTGTGATATCAAGAACTTCTCATGTCACACCCCGAAGAAAAGCGGCAAGAAACGATCAGTGTAGATATAGAGTAACTTCACAAAAAATTGAGTTCCACATAGTCTTAAAAATCTTTTAGAAATTTTTCGAGCAACTATTAATATGGATTGATCGTTTTTAACAATCTTCATTTTCGACGCCTCACGTGTAACGATAGAAATAAGAATTCTTACTGTTAAAGCGCCCTCTTATTTTATCTCTACCAAGCATTTTCTCATTTCCACAGCATAAGCGCAGACCCAAGGGTTCGCCACACAGTCTGGAACGTAATCCTGATGACGCTGGTGAACTGGGGCAGTCACTACAGTGTCTCGCAAGCCAACTACCAGCGCGTCAGCTCGGTGGCCACACTGTCACAGGCCAAGAGGTGCGTTGACATGGCGACGAAACTTATCAAAATTAATCAAGGTACCATCGGATCAGCTCAGTGGCCACACTGTCACAGATCAAAAGGTGCGGTACTTAATTTTCACAATTAAGGTACCATCGCATCAGATCAGTAGCCACGCTTTTACAGGCCAAGACGTGAGGTGGCGCGACGCCGAAACTCATTATCTAGGTACTCCAGCGGGTCTGCTCGGTAGTCACACTGTCACCGGCCAATAAGTGCGAAACTTTCCACAATCTATGTACCAGCGCGTCAGCTCGGTGGCCACAGTCACAGGCCAAGAGGTTGATGGCGTGAAGCTGAAACCTATTTTATTTTCACCGCCAGCGCGTAAGAACAGTAGCCACGCTGTCACAAGCCAAGAGGTGAGGTAGCATTGCATATTACTCTCAGCATGTTAGCCATATGAATAGTCTCCTGCATACTTTAATTAAGTTGCTATGACCATCTGTGCGATCAGAGCCATTGAAGTCTGGCTAGTTGACCAGCCCTTCAGATGCTAAAAGGTGAGCCAGTATGCGTCTCCAATCGTTAAGCCCGGTCCACACGCTCAGTTTTCACAACGATTTGTCTGCGCAGTTTTAAGTCGGAATGAAATCGTTGCAATTTTTAGAGCGTCCACACGGTACCGACTTATCTGAGTAGTTTGCTCAGTTTTGCGCGATCTCGCCATGGAGACGTCTCGGACAAATTTTACGGCCGGTCTCCCCAAATTCGGCGAGCATGGAATATCTCCCGAAGTAATGAACGTAGCTCGATAAAACTTGTTACACGTATTCATTAGGACTTAACGGTGATGTTTAGCTCGTGAACATTTTTGGAATTTCACCTTCATTGGTGAGTTATATGACGATACGTGCTGAAATTTGCAGTGAGCATGACATTTCTTCTTAACTACTGTACAGATTTGAACGAAACGTTGAATATAGAAACCTAACCTCCCAACGGCGATGTTTAGCTCGTGAAAATTTTTTAGATTAGATAAAGCCGTATAACTCGCAAACGAAGGCAAAATCGAAAAAATTGTCACATGCTAAACATCACCGTTAAGTCCTAATGAATACGTGTGCCAAGTTTTATCGAGCTACGTTCATTACTTTGGGAGATATTCCATGCCCATCGAATTTGGGGAGACCGGCCGCGAGTCCGGTCGTAAATTTATCCGAAATGTGCCATGGAGAAGGCAGTATTTTCATAAATTTTGGCATTGTGCCTTGTCAAAAAAGAGATTGGATCATTTAGGGATTGCGAGGAATCAAAATACAAGAGAGATGGCTTGTAGATGTCTTATTTTCCAGGTCCAGATGGAATCGATTTTTTTATTCATTCACAATTATTTACGGTAAATGCTCAACTTATTTTACAGCTGTTTCTGTGTTTGCGCTTTCATCGATTTCTTTGAATTTTTCTACTAAGCCCTCGTATGTCTCCACCTTTTTTGTCCCTGTTACTATAGTCCTTGAATTTTACTTGCCAAATGCAAGAAAAACTTTCGTATAGAAAAGCAATAAATTCCCGAGAACATTACCGAAGGTCCACCATGGTCGCCAGAATCATTGAAACTGAGCACAAATCGAATCGGAAAACTGTGCTACCGTCCACACGTTCCGACTTGTCTGCGCATTTCATCGAAATCTATGCTCGGAAGCTCAGATTTCGATGGAACTGCGCAGTTTTACCGCCGGCTCCAAAACTGCGCAGTTTTCCCGTCCACACGCAACGTTTTATCTGCAACGATTAGAACTGCGCAGACAAATCGTTGTGTAAAACTGAGCGTGTGGACCGGGCTTAAGTCTAGCAAGCCTGCTCACGAAGATTATGATCGGAAGAAAATTTCAATGGTCAAAACTCATCACAATCTAGGTATCAGCGCAACAGCACAATGGTGAACTTCGGCAATTTACAAGAGAACGATACGCGAATGATTCTCAAGACAACAAACCGAGACTCAGATTAGTGGCTAGTCCCTCGTCTGCTTGGAGGTGAGGCACTCAAGCTTTACGAATTTACAAAATGAATGCATTCTATCGTCAAATGAGAAAGCTGTGATTGGCAAACAGAGAAATGTGTACCTGGAAGAGCCATGTGACTTGTTCCCGACTCATCATTGCATTTCTTTTTCTGCCGATATTTCTCTGAAAAAGATGATGAAAAAAGTTCCTTCATTAAAAGAAACTCGTTATTTTTTTTAAAAATGTCTAATCTGTCTTAATTTTACGTGCGTTAACTCCGGGTGTGATGGGCAGAGTGTTGTACTATAATGTGGTTGGCATGACTCTCTTCATGCTGCTGGTGTTCTTCATGGGCCTCGGCGTCTACGCGGTCTACGCAGATTGCGATCCTTTTGCTCGGGGCTTCATCTTCAGCAAGGTAGCTTAAATGTAATAAATTATTTATAGGGCGGGTCATTTCATTAATTGAGTAAAGTTATCTCTACTCAGTCTATACAATTATGAGAGCAAGCTTGAATCCAGTTTAAAATTAAAACCATTTGATGTAGAATCGTGAGAAAACTATGATATCATAACGTATGGAAAGACTAACAATCACTCCGATTAGACAATAATAAGTGTTTATTTACCTTCCATTACAGGATCAAATATCAGTTTATTTTGTGAACGACAAATTGAAGAACCTTACTGGAGTTCCGGGCGTCTTTGTGGCTGCTCTTCTCAGCGCTGCTCTGAGGTAGGCTTATGTCCACTGTATAGACATCTGATTTCGAACCTTTTTGTGATTAAATGCAACTTGGAGATCCCCTGTTGTAGCAGTGCACTGTCGCGTACCATTAATGATCAGAATTAGGCACTGTGAATATAAGGAATATATCCGATAACTGTAGGACCCCAGGGTCTGGTGAATTGCGTGCAACAACAGGTGCAAACCGTTTCCAGGATATCTTATGTTTGGCAGAAAAAATTCTCTGAATTAAAAAAAATGTTTTTTTTTCAGAAATAGTTCATGACCTCGAAAATGTTAGCCTAACCATAAGAACGCGCTCGCGTTCCGGTACACGATAATACAGGCTTGGAACCACAATTATATATTCACAATTCCTACCACTGTTCAACCATGGCAGTTTTTATTAACGCTTGAGATCATATAAAATGAACTCCTACATGCATTCTTAAAATTTATGTCTCCCTTAATGTGGTCGATAATTATGACGAATTGAGCAATAATTTACATATAGTACTCTAAGGTTTACCTAATAAATCCTCCATCTCAGCTCACTGTCATCGGGAGTAAATACCCTGGCGACTTTGCTGTGGGGTGACGTGTTTTCACACACTCCGTGCTTCAGGGGCTGCTCTGACTTTGTGGCGGCCACTGCAAACAAAGTTCTTAGTGAGTTCATTTACTTCCAACGGATGTTTTGACGAGAAAATCTCAAAAAACTGAATTACTCAATGGTAATTGTCTTTATTGTTAGTCATTTTGGATTCCGCTGCTACCAATATACTTTACGTTTGTGAGGTTTTTGTATTTCAGTGAGCAAGCTAATAACATTTAATGGCATTAATTAGTAAACTCCTAACTTGAACAAACGTTAGTTGAAGGTAAAATAGTTCTGACAAAAATTTAGGGCCTAAACAATCTTCTTAAATTATGACACAATATAGTATAGTATAGTATCTTCGGCATTAAAGAATAGGCCTGGATAGGCCTGTCGCCGATTCTTGTGCTTTTCTTGACCAGACTGGCCTTTTGATCAGTTCTTTTCAACGGACGGTAGGTTTAAAATCGATTCTAGATATCAGTTGTTCCGTAGGGTACGAGGCATTTTAAGACTTAACATATGCTCCTGCATGGCCTTGTCTAGTCTGTTCTTGAACGCGTTCATACTCGGAGCGTCAACAATATCTTCAGGGAGGCTGACGGTTCCGTTAATGCTGACACGTTGTCTTCTGCCTACTAGGAAATTCCTGATCCATTGGAGTACATTCCCCTCTATTCCCAAAGAATTCACTTTACGTAACAGTCGCTCATGCGGAACACTATCAAATGCCTTGGCAAAATCGAGGTACAGTGCATCCACTGGCTCCCTTTCGTCCAGCAGGCGAGTCCAATTATTCAAGGTAGACAGGAGATTAGTGGTGCATGATCTGCCAGCAATAAAGCCATGCTAACAGTCTGATAGAAGATGGTTAACAGTGCTAACAGTCTGATAGAAGATGGTTAACAGTCAAGTGATCTATAATCCTATCCCTCATAACCGATTCCATCACCTTACACACAACACTTGTGAGACTTACAGGGCGCTGAGGGCGGTAGTTACCTGGGTTACTCCTGTCACCTTTTTTGTGTGAGAAATTCCTCATTTCCCACCGTCAATTTGTGTATATGCTAGGGTTTAGTTACGGGATCTATTTTTGGCTTGGAATTGCTTAGAATTCCGTTTCTCTAACTTCATCTGAAGAAAAAGTATTTAGTCGAGATCAGGGGTTTGGCCGCGGGTCTAAGGAGTCTTCATCATCAATAGTTATCAATTGCATCAAAAATGATATTTGCCGACAGTGCCAGTCCAAAGTTATACCGCCATCAAGCAGTGTTCAAAGTCTGTTCAAATTGATTATTCATAATTCAAAACCTTAACCGCCGTTTTTGAACCGGTGAACAAGTAACTTCAACCGAAGTTCAAGTATTTCTACCATCTTGCTATGATCCCTGTTTCTCTATCCCTTGGTTTGTATGAATGTCGTGTGAATTTCGTTTTGTTTATTTTTTTGCTCTATTAAATTCATTTATCAAATCTGTTGGGAAGTTGGACCTAGTTTAAGGATACAATCAAATTTATTAATTTATTGAAATTCAAATATCATGCTTTAAATTAAAATGCTAATTCTTTCAAATTAAATCTATTACTTTTTTGATGTTCTTCGCTCTAGAAGTGCGTTATTTACTTTACGTGACATGCGAAGATCATTATTCAAACCTCAGTCTTAAGTCTATCTCTCTAATTTCTAAAGCATCAGAACCTTCGACTGTTCTTGCTATTTTTCACGTCCAACTTCCCACCCCTTAAACTGATTTCCGCTATTTTCCTGTATTATTCGACCTTCAAAAAGTAATCACACTGGGCATTTAAACCTCAGGTTCGTAGTGTTTTCCGTGCAAAAGTGAAATTTTGATCATTTATTTAAACTAAACTTTGTTGAAAGTTTCGCAAGATTTATAATTTGGATTCATTCGTAAGATTTATAATTTGAATTCACTTCTTTACAGTATCCGAACCCGAGACTGGCTGGCCTTAATTTATTTGTACGTAACGCATTCGTCACTACTTTCTTTCTTCGAGTGACCAACCCGCCATCTTCACCTTCACGTTCCCATATACTGAAGATTGCACTTTTGGATTCGGCTCTCATTGACTATTTTCGCCTTTACTATGAAGATGAATCATTCAAAGTCACTCAAACTGTTTTGAAGAAATTAAAATAAAAGTTTTCTTGATTATTTCTTTAATTAACTACCTGTCGATTGTGTGAATACCTCACATTTGAACAGGGGTGTCACTTGGGCTTCTTTCCAGTCGGCCGGCAAGGTCCCTTCGATTAAGGTTTTTCGAAAGAATACTGTTAAAGGGCCGGCCAGGACAGTTGCTAATTCGTTGAGCAATCTAGGGTGGAAACCGTCTGATCCAGATGACTTGTTGGGATTCAGGGAGACCAGGCGCTTGAGAACCTCCTCTTCATGTATCTCGAAACTAGTTAACTTCGAGTCCACTGGTCGCTCCTTAATAGCTGGAATACTGTTCAAGTCCTCATCTGTGAAGACGCTGCTAAAGAACTGATTTAGAACATTGGCCTTGCCCTCGTCAGAAGATATCTTCCGTTGATTTACATTCAAGTCAGCAATACCATCCCTTGTCTTGCACTTCGAACTAGCGATATAAGAGTAAATTTCAAACACTTTTGCTTTGTAAGTGCAAGATGAAAAAATGCAGACTTCATCTGATAAGATCAATTTTAACTTATTTTATTTACCGTACAGCGGTGTTGTTGGGAGCCACTATCATCGGCTTGGCTTTTCTGGCCTCGAAGCTGGGTGGGCTGATCCAGGCAGGTTACACGGTGGTGGGGGTGATGTCTGGTCCCATCCTGGGCGTCTACTTGCTTGGCTTGATGGTGCCTTTCTGCAACAAGCGGGGTGCCTTTGCTGGTCTCTTGTCCAGCTATGTAAGTCTCTTGCCGTAATTTTATTTTTTTCTTCAGTCCGGCAATGTAAGGATCGCCTTAATGATAATATGCTATATCTATTACAATAATGTTATACATGAAAATAAAACTTTTCAACTAATTAGTGGGTAAAATAATTACTTTGGATTTCAGTCATTCGTGGATATTTTGAGTACTGAACGGCGTTTTTTGATTGCCTTATCATTGAGATAATATTTGTACCGTGTGTGAGCTTTTTCGGTGCTGAGGCTGAATTCGATGCTACACAACCTGCCGATTGGTGTTCTATTATTTCACGCCTCAGCGGACGATGCTGCGTGAAAAAATGTTTCAACGTGTATAGGTTAGGACAGAAGAGGTAGGCCGGAGTAGGTTTTGCCAGATGCGGTAAGACCAATAGCCATGCTTTAACTTGAGCACGCTTGAGGGGTAGGTGTTGACAATCGGCGTAATGGCTTTAGACACTTTACTTCATTGGCTGAATTGCCCTCTAGCGTGCTTACCCAAGAAACTGAATATGAACTCATGAGTAAAGTTGGGTGATGCAGGCCTCCAACATGCGCCCGCCCCAGCGGATTCGTAAGTTGGAAAGGGGATTCGTAATTGGTGATGAAAACTTGCTACCGATTGCACGATAATTCAGAATTTTTGGAAGAGACAATGTTGGAAGAAGGGGCTACAAATTTCGTTCGTTGCTGGGCACTGTTTGTTTCCAAAAAGGCTGCCCCCTACGAACTTGTGGCCTATTTTTTACTACGTGCGATTTTAACAGATTCTGTGCGTCTGGATCGCAGTGGGAGGCTTCCTGACTAACACTACCAAGCCGCCGATGTTGCCATTCTCCACAGCGGGCTGTCCCGCTAACTCGACCGTCACCACCTTCATATCCCTCGCTGATGCCAACAAAACTATCATAAATACGCCAGGGTGCGTTGAGCATTTTTTGACATTTCATTAGACATCGGCAGCAAACGGTGACGTTTTTATTATCAGATATGCTGTTCGGTATTAATATTGCTGTGTTGCACTGTTCTCATGAAACGGCATTAATGGCTTTTCTCTCTTTTTTTTTATACTTTTTATGTTTTTCCTGTAGGTACTCACTTATATAATAAACTGAATGACTGCCTATTGCAGGTCAACGTTTTCGATTCTATATTCGATATCCTACACCTTCTATCCCTTCATCGGCCTGGCGACTTGCCTGATCGTGGGTATTCTCGTCTCTATCATTGCAAGTAAGCAAATACATATTGTTTGATATTGTATACAGAATTTTCTAGACCAACCAACTCTGTCTGCAAAAACCTAATTATCGTAAATTTATCTGCCTGCACGCAATTCACATGCCTTATGAATTCGTGGAAGATATTAGCCTCTTGACGTCAACAACTAATGCCCAGCACTAGGCTACTGGATTGATAGAACTAGCTGGATTCATGCGATCATTAAGGACAGACTAGAAACTGAATTAGTATCATACTTTTACGTACCTAAACACAAAAATTTAGAATAGATTGTCCGTTAAATATCTCGAGTGTTTTTGAGAGAGCATAAAAGCTTAGATAGAAGCGGGTAAAACATGATGATACACAAATTAATCATCATGGCCTACGTTTGCGTTCAATCCAATGTCAATTCATCCTGGAAACCACAAGTCGTACACTGAGGTCAGACGAGTGTCAAGTCATACTGCTTGAAGGATAGTGGGCATGCAGGTTATTTTATTTTATTATTTTAGAATGTAATGTCAGTAAGGGGAATTTTTTTACTCGATTCGTCAAAATACCCCCACAGCTGCTAGATGATATGTAAACCTGGTTACTGTGCATATTACACAAAATATTTTCAACATAACTCTCGTGTTCGTTCAGTCCATCGTCTTACCAGTATTACTCTCGTTATTGGCGGTTTAACGATCAAAATCAACTTATTTAATTTTAAATAAACTCAATTCGTATTGCGTGGAGATTCCAGGTATTAGTTTCAATACATGTTGCAACTTAAACTTCAAATGACGTTTCACATTTGCAACAAGTTTTTCAATATTGCACATTCGGCCGAATGCAAATAAATAATGGTCTAATTATTAACTGTACCTAAAACCGTAAATTTAAGTGCCAATTTATAGTATTTTTTTGCTGCCAGGTTACCAAGACCCCCGGACGGTTCCTAGCGAGCTCGTACTCTTCTGCGTGCGACGTTTCACGAAGAAAGAAAGCGATGTCGACAACGGTGTTTCTTGCATACGAATTGAGTCCCTCAAAAATAATATAAATTATAGCAAAGAAGATGGCATGGCTACAACAAGAAATAATGATAAATTAGATATTATTTCTGATCGACTTTGAAAATAAGTAGGTATGCCTATTTTCATAATACGCTAAAATGCCTTGGCACCTTCTCAATGCACTGCCAGTTTATAATGTCCCAATAAGGATTAAATGTACTTCAAAGCATTTTTATAGAACTACCAGAATCTTAGATTCGATTTCACGGATGATTCTTGTTCATATTGTACTGCTGATTACTTAAGTGTTTTATTTATGTATGAAACTCAGTTTATTCGTATTATTTATTACTTTTGTGTGCATTGAATTTCCCGATAAATTTTTTCGCTATGTTGAGCTCGAATTTCCAAGAAATGTTCACAGCTTATCAGCAATTTTTTTGCTCATGTGAAGAATTTACCAAATGGCTTTCGCTACCAAGAGTTGCGTGTTGAAAATAAATATCTCTCCTTTAGTATTATTTTGATTATTCTCTTATATATTGCATGTTCCTGTAGTACTGCAGCTGTGGTAAGAATACATATTATGGTTAAAAATTGCCAGGAGTTTGACTTTCGAACAAGAATATCGTTTTTTGTGGAATAAGGAGATTACAGATGAACATTCACGGTTGCATCGGAATTATACAAGCGGTGTGACATGTCGTTATCTATAAAATTGATATTTAATAATTTACCTATGTATATATGAAAGTTCTTGTGTTTTTTGCGCAAACAGTACAGTATATGAGTATAATATTGTCGCTGCTGCTGAAATATAGGCCAAGTTTGGACTGTCACCGATTCATATAATTTTCGTGATTTATTCACGGGAGATCTGAAAAACTGCATTTGACCAGATCTTTTCAAACTAACGTTGAGACAAATACCGATTGGACGTTTACCATACCCGTTTGGTGATGGGCACCTGAGGTCCGAAAATATAGGTCTGCATAACTTTGACTGGTCGCTATTTGAATCCGTTTATAACCGAATGCATGCATGCATACGATGTCAGCAAGAAGGCTGTTCCACATATAGGAGATACGAAGCGAGAAATGTTGTTAGCACCGGAGTTAGTTTAGTTCATAACCGTGGCCACTAGTATGGGTTCTTGTTGCATATTCTAGCAAATATCCTGGATATTGTATAAACCATGACTATAATATCATTCTTCAAGGTCTCACCCCAGTCGTCGATAAGTAAGACATGGAAGCTTCATAATCGCTCATCTTTCTTCATCTATAACTCGCTCTTTAATACTGGAATTATACTGCTTGCACGACTGAGAACACTATAGACGATTTTCTTTGTCATTTTTAAGTTTCGATACTCTTCTAATTCTAATGTCATGCCAGGGTTGGTACGATATGGTGTTGATTGGTGGAAAAAATACCGAAGCACACTTAATGTTACAGGCTGAAATGTTAGCGATCAAACACGAGTTTTAATTCTATTGACATGCACAACAACTAAATATCGGTAGGCCAAGTTTGTTCACGTAGCCTGGCAAATTCTTCTAAGGAAAGGTTTAGGAGTCATATTTTTTTCAGATTCGGTTTTATTAACCCATCAATCCTTATTTATAATATTCGGATATAACTCAAATAAAAATTTAGGATGGCGCATCACTGATTATAGAGGGCGATGGTAGATTACTGGTAGCGTACCGGTGGGTGGCCGGACCTGCCGAAAAATCGACGGGGTGGCGAGTATAGGTGGCAGTTCACAGATCAATTATCGATGATTTATAGGATCTGAATCATCGATGGCGCATTGCAGGCAAATATCTTGTAACCCACCGATAACCGCTTACCCAAATTGCACAGTGCCCGAAGGGATTTGTCACTGTGATTTATCCAACGTACAAAGGAGTTATTGAGTTGCGATTCAATCGAGATCCAGACGAAACCCTGATTTCGTTCGGCGTGCTTAATTGCTTGAAAGATTTTGATTCAAGTAAATATAGCGAAAATTTAGCGTGAATTTGGTAGGTACGAGGAAAACTGACAGATTATAGATGAATTGGGTGTTCACAAATTTTTCATGCTAAAGTGAAGCAACTTGACATGTATCAGAGTGCTCCTGATATAAATTGTCAGAGGAACAGTGGAAACTTTTGCTACGAATCCACGTTTTCCAAAAGATGATGGCGAATCAAAATTTTCATATTCACTTAAGATATTGCGTGAATTTATTGCGAATTTTGTGCATGCGCCAACTTGTTGTGCTTTAAATATTACCTTCAATTGAGACTAATTAATTGTCTCATTAGGTATAAATTAATTAGTTCGATTATGCGTGTGTAACAATATTTATATTATTCTCAAGTTGCCGCATTTATCTAAAGCCACACGTGGTGGACAGCGGATCGGCATCATTTATAAAGCACAGCGAGCAGGTACACGTGTACAAGTTCATACCTGTTGGGTTGGGAGCGCGTCGGCGTTGAGCTTCTTTCTCATTAATCTTTAACACGTCCTGCTTGCAATATTTCCTTTCCGGATAATTTGCTTAACAAAATAGTATCCTCTTTACGCGGAGGGATACGAGTAAAAATTCGATTTTTTATCACTGATTTCGATAGTGGAATTCAATTATTTCGGAGAAATTTTCTTAAACCGTCCCATAAATATTTTGAGTTTCCGTCTACTTTTCTAATCAAGCGGTGAATGTGTCTTTCGTACGAAAAATATTAAACATTAGGCTAGAGAAAAATAGTGACATGAAGTGCACGAGGATGGCATTTTACGACTAACATTTCAAATTCATTGAGGGATAATTCGCAAGAATATTATTGGTGTAAATATTTCGAATCGAACCGCTGTTAAAATTTGTGTAATGTTCACATTATTAAAGTTCGATACTTATCAAGCATTTTCCCGCAGCCCTTGCTCTGAGCTGAACCATCGTTCGTTATGGATAAACGAAGTATCTTTCAAGCATGTTTATATAAAATGGCTGATGGAACCATCTAATCATCATCACTGTAGTAGCATCAACTTGTGTCATTTGATGAAATTAATATTTGCACTACTTAAATTAAATATTTTAAAATTACTCGACTGCCATGTCCCTCCGATGGCTCAACGGTAGAGGCTTGGCTTCGCTTGAGAGAGATCAAGAGTTGGAATCCTGCAGGCTGTGACTCATCTTCAGGTCGATTTCTCACGAGGTGTGTGTATGGTACTATGATGATTTGTTCCTGCTACATGTCTGACATTGTTACTTGTACTGGCAGGGTGGATTTGCATACGTAGTCCTCAGAATATGATAGTCTTGAGCAATATCAGTAGATACAAAGCATCGGATTTGAAGCTAAATGAAACATTTTTATCGACTCCATTTTAAAGGCGGCCATCGGTGGCTCATCGATGCGCCATCGGTGCCAGTGTGTAGTTATTTGAGGAAGAAGAGTTTTTCGAGGAGTGTGGTCATAGGCAGGTTAGAGGTGGAACATAGGCCGGACACGACATAGATGCCGTATCGATGCGCCATCGGTGCTCCACTTATAATTTCCACTTATATATGTTCACCTATAATCATCGGTGCTCCTCCAATAATCTTTATTTGGGAAGTAATGCGAGTATCCGTAAATTTTCTTTAATATCAAGTTTGTGTTCTACGTGCCTGCTATCAAGCAGGTAGTGGAATGAGCCGCATATATTTACTGACCACCTTTATTATGTTTGGGGATGCAGCATCGATCAGCTGCAGCGAACATAAGAGAGAGGCGAGTAAAATACCGCCGAGGTGCCTTACGAAAGAGATTAAATCATAAGAATTAATTGTTGGCGGCACATTACTGCGATTAAGGTACGCACTCATAATAAAATACCCGGGAGAAAAGTCTTACAAGGCATAAGTTGAAATGAATTAAACGATAGAATTTTGAAAGCCACATTTGAAATGAACGACCTTAATTTAGATGGTCAAATGATTTCTGAAATTGTAAACGGTTTTCTCGCATCAGCCTAAAAAATGTCATTCGAAACGAAGCTTACCGCGTATGGTGATAGGAATAACAATATAACAAAATTATTCTTCGATGAAGTTGATAGGTTCCTTATACTGTTTTTACACACCATCATGTACGAAAAATCGATTTAAACGAATTTAACTTCTGGTGCAGAAGTTAACCCGGATCGCATACAAGTTACTTACGATAAAACATCTAACGCATATTAAACAGTTGCATGATGATGAAAACAGAGAGAATGGTTCATTAATTCATTCATATTTCTTCAATGTGCAAATTGAACATTAAACTCCGTGTATGGTAGAGTTGCGGTTTTTGCTGCAGAAAACAGCTCAGCGAGGATAATGGGTTTACTTTTTATGTATCGGTCTTCAGATAAAAGTATCGGCTGAACATGTATAATATACACGGTAATACGTGCCTCGGGCTCAGCGCTAAAAATAAAAGGCTACTCGAGCCTTAAATCCCAAGAGGGAGGAAATTCGGTGCAAAACTCACGTTGTATTATATATTTGCAATCTAGATTCATTAGCAATCCAGTTTTAATTGCAATCTAGATTTATTTGAAATTTAGATTTGCCATCCAGATTTATTTATAATCTAGATTTGTTTGTAATCTAAATTTAATTGCATTCACTGATGGTTATGAAATAACCACAATGCAGCTCTTTCACTGGTCGTTATTGTTCGAGCATTTAACAGTATGCAGGTTAGTGCTTAGTTTTCCGGATCATTCGAAGTTAAAGATCTATTGAAGAATTATGTACTAAGTTCCCATTTTATTATCATTAGAATCCGTGCGATAGTCAAATTAAGTTGATTGCTTGGATAAACAAGGCAATGCAATACAAGTGTTTCTTTTACAGACGTCGTGATCGAATGATGATTACATTTAGACTTGGCTCTAACCTGACACGTAATGGAGCAGTGCCAACAAATAATTGTAAAATAATCTGTAGATGCACAAATTTATTTATATATTATAAATTTATTATAATATTTAAATATTATTACTATATTATTATTTATATATTATATAATTACATATTATTTTATATATTTATATATCATTATATTATTATTTATATATTATAATTTATTTATATTATAAAAGATAATAAATGTTTCTGCAGACTTTTCAAATAATTTCACTCAAAAATTTTAAAATGTGTAACATTTGAATTTCCTAACAATAAATTCCTTCACTGTACATATATCCCCGTATGCTAACGCTTATTTTTACATTAGTTTGGCCAATATATATATACGTATAATACTGGTACGCAAGAGGTTCGTTACACTGACGCTGGACATTCCGATTGTGAGGAAAATTTAGTCTGCGCGCCTAGGACTTCCCTTCTTTCGGCAGGAAACAAGTTTTTGTCGACTGGTCCTTTGTGGCTATGGGAGCGCGTCAGACCACACGCCCGATTTGGCTCTTCAAGCGACATTGGTGAACTTTACTTCGGTTGTATGAGTCCGGCGGAAAATCTCCTTTTAGTAATTAGTATAAATCTGAATTTTGCGGTGACGTGGTATTTTCGAGAAAACCGTTTTTGTAGTTCATATCGGGCGTGTTTATTGAATCAAAAATGACCCAATTTTCTTCTAAAAATCTTTTTGCGGAATTCACGGCCATACTCGCAGGCACTTTTTTTCAGCCCGTTAGATATCCTTCGAGTGTCATGCCTGATGATATCATCCTAGACTTCATAGTCGGTGAGTTGAATAAATTAATTATTATGAAGAGAAATAACTGTTTGTAGAACAAACAAATAATTCGTTCAACAACAAACACTCCTCAATATTAGTGCATTGAAAAATTGGCATGGAAGGTCAATAGCTCTTCCATGTATTCTACTGGCGGGATAACTCCGTGTTATTGCGATATGACGGAAGTGCCTTCAATGTTGCCTTATAAATAGTAGCAGGTCTCATAAAAAATCAAGATAAGTATGATAAAAATTACTCTTCAATAATTTTACCGTATCCCTCGTCAGAGAAAAAATCTTGTTTAGAATTCTAAACCTTACAACGTAATTAGGACACAGTAGGAGCAATGATTTAATTCAAGAAATTTCTTTTTTATTCAAATTACTGGCAAGGTAGGGTGCGCAGAATAGTTTTTAAACAAATTTTCGATGAATGAGTTAGATGGGAGTAACTTCCATGAGCCTTTCTAAAAAATTTGTAGGACTTAAACTTTTTCACTTTTAGGACTTTTTCATAAACTATGAAGTTAGATGAAAAAGATAATAATATGCGTTTAAAAATTACTTTTCGAAGACTAAACTTCTGAAGAATCCAGTGTTTCGGATGTTACACATGTACAATGGATTTCTAGTTTTATTTTCATATATTACAAAAAATTATTTTTCAAAATTTTTTTAAGATTTCAAAATTTTGTCAATTTTTAAAATTATTTATTCTGTCAACTGATTCATGCATTGTCTCTGACTTTATGCAATTGTGTAAAATTTCAATCGATTGGACAGGTCAAATTGTGACATATATGGACTATAGGATTTGTTGCAGACGAAATAATTTTAGATTTTTTAATAATAAATTTTTTTTAATTTATAAAATTATTTATTCTGTCAATTGATTCATGCAATGCAACGTCTCCAACTTTACGGAAGTGTGCAAAATTTCAGATCTATTGGACAGGTAGAAGTGTGTCAAATATCGATAATAAGATTTGTAGCTGACAAAATTTTTTTACTTTTTTAATATTGAAAAAAATTCAATTTTTAAAATCATATATTGTGTCAATTGATTCATGCATTGTCTCCAACTTTATGCAAGTGTGCCAAATTTCAGATCGATTGGACAGGTAGAAGCGTGTTAACCATCGATTATAAGATTTGTAGCAGTCAGACAGACAAACAAACAACAAGAAGTGAAGTTAAAGAGAAATGTTAAAAAACGTTATTTGCGATTTGTTTTTGTCATTTTATCGAACGATCCATAAACAATGTCAAATGCCTGCCGTCTATCAATGATTTATTTATTGTTGTTCAGGTAGTTGCGTTACTTTATAAAAATTCGTCTTTCGAGTCGAGTCGAGTTTAAAGAATTAATTTGATAAATCCTACGTTTTCTTGCATAAGTCTGTGTAGTGCACGTATTTCCCGGCAATGTTGTTAGAGGATCAAGCGAGTTGTTAGTTTGAATGCTCAAGACATGATTTTTTGTCTTTTGTCCACTGAAGTGCCCCTTTTTGGCTAGCTTCTGCTCTGCCTTAGGCAAGGATCCATAGGTCCAGTATTTATGCCGCAGCGTTTTCTGCATGGGCTCACAATTAAACTTGCTGTGGTACAGAGTGCAACAGCAACGGTCAGCAACGAGGCGTGTGAAGCCGCATAGATCTGTGTTTTATGAATGATATCTTATATATATTTTAGTTTGCATAGACTCATTTGTTTGGACTAAGAAAATAAAATAAACTTATAACGGAGGTCCAATAACTTCAGGGTATAGCCCAGTAGATATATAATCAGTTCAGAGTGTTCAACACAATTCGTCACCATGAGCTCTTTATCAGTTATGAGTCTCATAACAAAGTTAGCTGCTATTATTGCTGGGATATTCACGCAGCCAACAGTTTATCCTACGAGTGTTATGCCTCAGGATACAATCGTCGACTTCATCGTAGGTGAGCTAAAATTCACGTAAGGTTTATACAAAATACTTTATTACAAAAAAATAAAAAAATACAAATATAAATACAAAAATTTAATTCTACCATTAAATTATAAATTTATTAAAAAAAATTATTTACGTTTTTATAAGTAAAAATTTATTCCTAACTACATAAAAATCCATTTACTTTAATTTATTTCTACATATTCTACTACTGTCTACTGCTACTGAACGATTGGAAATTTTACCCTGCGCGATTGTGCACCTGCAGAATTGAAGGTCATCTGCTGTGGGGAATCCGTGCACGCAACGTGCAAAAGTTGACAAATTTCCCTCGTGATTCCTCAATTTCAAAGGAAGAAAATTCAAAATTTCTGATTCACGTGATTAGACTGCATAAGCTACTTGGCCTTTAATAAGCAAGTTTTTAGGGTATAATAATAAAAAGCGGAAAGCATAGGTAGTATAAGATAATGCTCCTAAATCGGAATTTAATTGCTAACAGCGAAAGAGACACTTTTGAAATCATATCGTAAATAAGTTTTTTCTGTTGATACTTTGAAAGAATAATATTGTATTTTCAGTAAAAATTGTAATTATGAGAAATTTTCACAAAAAAAATAAATTGAAGTTACAATAGGTTAAATTTCGATCCAAGCTACAAATTGCATGATGAGCCGGAGTTGCAACAGCCTGCAGATTTGCTGTTTTCCTGTATGCAATGGCACGTCGTGGATTATTATAACACCATATCTATAACATCCGTGATACATGCCAGGCTTTACAATCTGAGATAAACCTAAATTTGAACGATTACATGATTTACTAGGTAAACTCTGATGACTACATAAATATGTGAACAGCTTCAAATCTTTAGAGAATTAAAAAAAAATTCAGTTGCGATTTGGCTTCGCTAGGAATCGAATTCAAAAGTAGACGAAAGATTTCTACGAGGAAGGACACCATGTGAACTTGAATTCAAGGAGATCAACAGGTGCCACGCATGGATGCAGAACTTCTGTACGTGTTGTCAGTAGAGGCAAAAAACTTCCCTACGTGGCATTTGGTTAGAGTTCTTCCTTGTGGCATGTGATGGCAAGAAAACTACCAATTTACATGTTATTTTAAGACAACTCCCGTGCTTAGCAAACTTTGTGTGCCGTTCTGATGCTCTTGATTAAGCACGATAACCAGTAGAATGCATGAAATATTTCTCTTAAGAACAAAAAGAAAAGAATTGGAAAATGCATTACTTTTTTTTCTTGTAGAAACAACAAAGAATGGAAAAAGTTTCTTTCCATATTTCGGAAATCGACATATATACCGCGTTGCAATGCTCACGCAATGTTGATTGTGGAGCCCACACAGAGTAATGAGTGTCTTGAGACTTGTGGAGCCCACACAGAGTAATGAGTGTCATGAGACTTGTGGAGCCCACACAGAGTAATGAGTGTCTTGAGACTTGTGGAGCCCACACAGAGTAATGAGTGTCTTGAGACTTGTGGAGCCCACACAGAGTAATGAGTAACCGTGAGATTTTGTGCGAATAGAGGTACACTTCTTGCCCTGAGTGGGTCATCTTGGAAAAATTTGCTCTGGCAAAACGGCATATCTGTTACGTCTGCTCTTTGCTTATGCCGCAGGTGGTAATTGAAATATACGACCAGACAGTATTTTTCTAAATATTTTTCTTGCATAAAGAAATACGGGTTTATAGGAGGTTAAACTACGTTTAAAAACGGTTTCAACGCTCTAAGAAAATTTATTTTTTAAATATATTGTTTGAAACGAATTGAAGAAAATTAAAAAATATAGGTAGAAATGGTTACTAAACCACGATTGGTTAATCCGTTTGTTCATCCCATACCCTCGTTTTAAGTGGTAATCTTACCTCCTTTCACCTCAATTAGGTACCTCAATGCATCTTCTCCCCATGCTATTTTACCAAATCAACCTGAGTCTTTTGAGAAATGCTCTCCCGCGAACGAAGGATAGCCGTGCTTAGGTCACTCACAGATTGGAACTGGCGCTCATTTTGGTAAACATCCCTCGCCATGATGCCCCATAGGTTTTCAATTGGGTTGAGGTCAGGACTAAGCGCTGGCCACGGCAACAGGGAAATATTCTGCTCTTGGAACCACTTGTTTGCTGACTGCAAGATGTGAAACGAATCATTGTCTTGTTGGAAAACATATAATCCCTCTTGTTTCTCATCGGCTAAAGGGAAAGGATGGCGAAATAGCGTGTGCCTTGTAATCTCCTCTCCCTTGTAAAATAGCTAGAGTCGATTTTCACTTTCGGCTAAACGCACCTCAAGCCATGGCCGAAAGAAAAACAGATTGCCGCTTGGAAAATAATTCAGGCTCACGGTCCAGGTGGTGCCAATAGCATTGCTATCCATGTGGACCGTCAAGATTGAATTTTTTTATCACTGAAGATAATCTTGCTCCATCTCTCACCAATAAGCACATTTTTTCAGCAAATTATTGTCGGTTGATAATAAACTTTTGTTTAAAGGGGGGAGGGTATTGTTTATACCCTCCAGAAAAACTTCCGCATTTACTAACGGGTCTTTCTGAAACTTCACACATATATGTAAAACCAAAATACAAGAACATTTTGTTCGTATGATTTTTTCGGAAAAATTGATAGAAAACGGACAAAAAAGAGGGCACTGTAGAAATTTATTTCCTCCAAGGGTTTTCAAGCTACAACATTGAGATGCATAGCATTCGATGCGTAAAGACCATGCCAGTAGAGTAACGAAGCCCGATTATCCATTTTTGCCTGTTTTTTTTTTTTTCACACACGCATTTTTCCGTTTTCTTCAAATTTTCCCCCTCCCCCATTTTGAATTTGAACTATGCCCAAATCTAAAAAAGGGGCTTCGTTACTATATAGGTATGGACTTTACGAATCGAATGGTATATGTCTCATTGGTGTAGCTTCAAAACTCTAGGAGGAGATAGGTTTTCCGTGACAATAACTGTGAATGTTCAGGAGAGCGCGACAAAGTCCCGCCCGCATCGCAATAGGCACTCAATGTAGCAAGGATACGAAACTAAACGTTTATGGAGCTTGATTCCACTCAAGGATGGTGGGAGCGACTACATGCGCACCACCTCATACAACGCCAGGCGGGTTACTGAGCTGCACCTCAAGCAAACACTGTATTTATAATGCTGGGCAGTGAATTAGCTCCTATCTAATTTGTTAATATAGCGCCAGTTTTTAATAGAGGTATAGCGCCAGTTTTAGAAGCCTCTGAATACAGTCGCCTAAGATCACTGTCGGTTAATTTTGCCTTTTTGATTCGTATCAGTCCGAATTAGCAAGAAATGATTGTCCAACAGTTTTTGAGCGTTGTATTTCCTCTACGAGGTCCCATTGGCTTCTACTGCATTTCACAAAGGCCAAAATTAGCGCCTTCTCGGCCTTGTGAGTCATGTCCCCATTGTCATCTCTTTTACTTCGAAATCTTCATTTGAATCCTTGTATGGATGTTAAAAGAGGCTCAGTCTGAAATCAGCTTTTTACTCTTATCCACCTGCAATTGCAAATAGATAAGTTTTGTAGTTTTCTTCTTGTTCATTGTCTTTTATTTCTAAATTTAATTTTTAATCTCTGCTCCATGAATTTAATTTGTCTAACTTGTGATTTTTTCTGCATTCTAGAATCTTCTAACTGACGATTGAGCTTGACTCCGAAAAGTTTTCTACAAGGACATGATGCTTTTTGTGGGTTTTTCTTTTCCTTCAAACTTATATTAAAATTGAGATGCAAATAAACGTGTGACATTAAGTTGAATCTTACGTCTATACGTTTCCTCACATGGCTCGAACTGCTATAATGAAAATGTCGGAATTAACTAAATCGGTAGATATTTTGTACGTGCATGAGGCGAAGCCATAGAAAAACAAAGATCAGTTGGCATTTGTGTTTGATGTATTAAAACCATCTTCTCTTTACCCACCCGCCAGTGGGCGCAGGCTCAGCGGGCAGTGTGGTGGCTGGTCGACTCTCCGAGGTGCCGGAATGGGAGGTGCTGGTGTTGGAGGCCGGAGGACAACCGCCCACGTTCACAAAAATTCCGTTGCTACAAATTGCTTCTTCCTTACCGAACTTATCTTACGTCAACCAGTATCCGATAATTGCTCAAAAATACTCTAGTCAATTTTACGTGGTAAGTGTGAGTATGACAATTTGTAACCTTAAATAAATTGATCTCTTTTTCGTGATTTACAAGGATTTCTTGCAGATACATTTTAATCTAAAAACGAGAATGTGCTAATTTTCAAATAAATTGCATGAAATGTTGTAATTAGTCAACAAAGAAAATGACTTAGACTCAGACTTAGAAAGTTAAAAAATCCCGCAGAAGAATCACAGAAACTGTTTTCGAAATGTGGCTGTGATTGAGGACGGGTGTGTTTTATCAAGACAATGGCCTGTTGTCAACTTCGGAAGGGGCGCATTTTTTCTATAACCTCATGCACTGGATTTCGGTAACTATCATATATGACAGTTTTGCTTCAGCTTCCCGACGTATGCATGAGTGCCCGTACATGTCGACTTATGGCATTGAATTACGAACGTTGCCTCCCGATGGTATTTCACGTTACCAGGTCTTGGGATTCGAATAGCCTTAAGGCCCTGATTGAAAGCCGAGAGGCTTCGAACAGGCTCGGCTCTTCCCTAAGAGTTTCTTCACTAATTAGGATAGACTTTGCTCCACTCGCAAATGAGATGGCGATATGGATTTTTCCATACTTACCCAGCTGTTTATTTCTAAGCGTCGACCAGTAACGAAAAATATGTAAACTTTGTATTAAAAGAGTTTTGATGAGAGGAAATTACAAGAAACTTTGAATATTGTTGTTCATCAAATCTGCGACTTTTACACTTTTTTCGAGATATAAACGGGTTGTAATTTTTATTGTCAATTGAATGGTATATTCGGCATTCCTTGATCAGCTTCCTTGTTATAGATATTTTCCACCAAAAAATTTTTATGATCGAGTCTGCTGATACGCGGAGGGAAAATCCCGCATACTAGCTGCTCAAATGGAGACGTTGTGCAATGTTTGAGGGGAAAGAGACGTCGTAAATTACTCCAACTGTCAGTTCACAACAGGTGGCATGGTAAAGGCGAAGTCAATGAGGGGCGAAGAATAATACGTGGCCAGTGGTCGGCCTATCCAATTAGTTATAGCCGACCGTTGGCCATTCCTCGGCCACCTGAAAGCGACCAGTTACCGCGAAGAATTGGGTCTGGCTAGGATATCATATTACAAAGAGTACAAGCTCGAGGGTAGCGACTGGCCGAGCTTTGGGCAGATCAAGGATTTTACACGATGGTCGCGAAAACCTCCCTCTCAGACTTTGCTGCCTGAATTTTTTACCGAATGTATAGTAGTATAGTATAGTATCTTCGGCATTTAAAGAATAGGCCTGGATAGGCCTGTCGCCGATTCTTGTACTTTTCTTGACTAGACTGGCCTTTTGATCAGATCTTTTTAACGGACGGTAGATTTAAAATAGCTTCTAGATGTCAGTTGTTCCGTAGGGTACGAGGCATTTTAAGACTAAACATATGCTCATGTAGCTAAACGTCAGAGGTAATTTATTAGTAGGTTTGCATGCTTGCTGGACTCACACGTTCTTGACACTCATAAGTGCGGTAGTTTGTCGTATAATGTTTCCCTCAAACTCCACAACTTTTTGCCATATAAACCATTGAATTGAATCGACTCATAACATTGGTGTCATGAATGTTCATGGTGTCTTCGTGGCGAAAATGCCACTAATGTCTGATTTAAATCTATGTAATTACCGAAATTTATTTTCGTATTGGTGTTTCACTAGAGAATTTCGAGTAAGTTCTGTAGGTTTAATATTGAGATTGAATGGTTTGAAATATAATTAAAATATAGGTCATATATTTTTTGAATAATGCTATAAAAGGTTCAAAAAGTTAACAAATGTAACTGAAGAATTAAAATTCTAAGCTCTTATTGTTTATTATCGACCTATAAAGAGTGCAACGTCTTTATACAGGATCGAAGGTACATGACGGGGAAAATGATCGGAGGAACAGGCGCCATCAATCGGATGATCCACAACCGAGGCAACCCCCAAGATTACGACAATTGGGCCCAGTTAGGAAACCCAGGCTGGGACTGGGAAACAGTTTTGAAATATTTCAAGAAATCTGAAGATTACCGAAGTCCCATGAAGCCTAGAGATGGTGAGATGATATTTCAATAATCCAAACAATGAGTATTAATTTGATGGTCATGCAATGGGCACATTATTGGCTTAGCAATTTTTCTTAATAAAAAATTATTTTTTCGGCCACGCATGAAAAATATTCAAAAATTTGAAAGTTAGATGTTGAGGTTTTCAACTGAGCAATTTCAGACTTGTGTATAAATTGGAAATGGATTTTGGCGCAACTTGAAAATTTTAGTTTTCCCTAAAAAGGCGATTTGTCTGAGGAACTTAAAAATATTTTATGCTAAATACATTCCACACGAGTTTCCTCCTAGGATATGGGATTTAAATCTTATTTCATTGTGATTTAAATCTTTAATCATAATGAATTAGAAGTTTCACTGATTGATTGATAATTCTTAATAATTTCGATCTTTAAGCACTCCAATAATAGTCTTCTCAGATAACGATCATGCCGATCGGCGTGCTCTAAATTAAAACCTTTTCAACTTTTCCGCCATGAATTGTATTTAAAAAACATATTTTATATTTTCCTAGACGGACTTCCTTCACAGGAAATATAACAAGGATTAACCCGTAAATGCGTCCTATCTAATCGCTGGACATCTTGACATTAATCCAAGAAAGTGATATTTCTACACTTGACATATTAATTCCTTCGCAGCTCCATTCCGTGGGATCGGCGGTCCTATGAGCGTGCAGAAAGTTGGCTGGATGCCGCCGGTTGGTAGACTTGCTATACAGGCTGGCATGGAGGTGGGCTTACCGGAAATCGACTACAACACAGATACAAAAATCGGTACGAGTCAGAATTTTTTGGGGGTTTAGCAATTTATTCTTGAATACTTCTTTATTATCACTCGCCAAAGCGAAAATTCTATTGGGGCACTTAAATTATTTTCTAGACTTATCTCACAACGTATTATGATTTCATCAATTCTGGCTACAATGCGGAGCTAAAGAACTGTTTCTGGACTGAGTTTTCAACGCGTGAGATTTCAGTATTCGAAAGAGACCTTGAGCGAAAACTTTGAAGTAACCAATGTGAGAGTTTAAATAAATATATGGTCGTTCAAGTCGCTGAGTATCTGTTTTGTTTCTGCGCAACAGGTAGCAGTATTTTACAGCTAGCAACGCGTAATGGCGAGCGAGTGACTTCGGCAGATGCATTTTTAAAGCCAATCATGCAGCGCAAAAACCTGAAGCTACAAATCAACTCTCAAGTTATCAAGGTATGAAAATAGGCTCATTTCTTTAAATGTATCCGAAGTACGAGTACACCACACAGTAATACAACCGTCAGCAGAATGTTTAAAGCGGTTCATAGCATCCGCAAGTGTACAAAACTAAATTTCTTTTTTAATCTTCACTTCGTTTCATAACACTATGTTTCATTAACAATTTGAAGTCCGGTGATAATCTTGTCGGCGCCGGATAAGAGCTGGTATGAGGCCGGCATGCCCGTTTTGGCGGAGTCGAGGTTTATCATTTGTCAGACTGCTTAATTTCACAACTTCATAATCGTACCATCGTACCGGGTACAGGAGCATTTGTGCTTCTGGTTAAACAAACAGGTTCAAACCATTAGAGGACGTTCCACGTATCGTTCATTGATATTATGAATTTATATTATTTCCTCTAGTATTCTTTTACATTGGAGTAGACAAACACTGAACTATACTAAAGGAACATGATAAAAATAACGAAAAACTTTATATGGAATGCCCCTGCACAGACAAACAGAATTACACAAATGACGATTCAATGGATTATTTTGGTAGCAGCATGAGACTAAAAATAAGCATAGCAACAAGTGCACCAAAATATCTGATAAATAAACTAAAAATAAATAGGAATAACCTGTCTGCATGCAAGGCTGCTCACGTGAAATTAAAATTCTTACCAGGTTTGAATAAAATCTACGAATTTGTATTTGAAACTAATCTGTTAAAAATTTATTGAATTGTGCGACAATCCATTAAAATATTATACACAATTAAAAACGTGATCGTTTTATAAATATTCATAGAGAAAGAGGGCAAATTGTAGTACCCACGAAATTTTGCGGATTCGTTATTTTTATTTCATTATGGCAAGAAACTCGCTGCTTTAAACAATAAAATTATTTTCAGCATTAGAATATCTCACTGGATTTACTCATTCTAATTCCCCTACCTTCCTTAATTTAATGTGAATTTATCTCGTAACACCCAAACGATGATTCGTGGTATCTTTCTTAATTTTTAAAACTATTATTAGAAATAAAAATAAAGTGATGGAATGTCGATAAAATGAAGCGACATTTTCTAATGAAATGAGTAAAATTGACATTCGTAGAAAGCGGAATGGCAGCTCTTGCATTCGCATTCGTAGAAAGCGGAGTGGCAGCTCCTGCATTCTCATTCATAGAAAGAGGAGTGGTATTTTCTGCATTCTCATTCGTAGAAAGCGGAGTGACAGCTCCTGCATTCTCATTCGTAGAAAGCGAAGTGGCAGCTCCTGCATTCTCATTCGTAGAAAGCGAAGTGGCAGCTCCTGCATTCTCATTCGTAGAAATCGGAGTGGTAGCTCCGGCCCCTTATTAAAATTTTCATGCCTGTCAGCCGCTGGATCAAGCGCGTCCCAAGCTCATCCAACGGTATAAATCAGCGGCTCCATGTCCGCTTTAGGTTCTGGTTGCCGGAGCGAAATAAGCGCCGAAAGAGAATCTTGTGAAATACCTGTCGAGCTTGGGGCGATCATGGGGCGCGCGTATTTGGTACCTGATACGTTCGGGACAGACGAAAGTATCCGAATCTGAAAAATGCGTTAAAAAACTGCCCACCTCCCTTCCCCCCTTTATGAGGGGAAGGGGGAGGCATTTGAATCGCTGTACGGGGCATTTGAATCGCTGAACATCGCGGCACAATGAAGCAAGTGGCAAGTAACACGAGTTTGAAACGGGAATAATATCAGTTAATACAACTTTCAACTCCAACTTTCCACATTACCCACAACAATCTCTTATATTTGCCAAAATGCAAGATCCTCTCACATTGCCCAAGCAAAACAATCTTTAATATTCACCAGCATTCAGCATTCTCACACATTTCCCAAATCCAAACATTCGTCAATATGCAATATCACTCAACTATCAACATACTCCAATATTCAACACTGCTCAAAATTAACCCACATCATCCATGGACGAAACATTATACCTATTTACCCGTACCAAACACTCCTACCTGTTGCGGTAGTAGCGGCCGGTACCAAACATTTACCACCTACGGCTGAGCAAAATATTATCTCACCTTAACCAGTATTGAACCTTCTCTCATATTCGCGAGCACAAAATATTCACATATACTGTTAAGCATTCTCCCGCAATAATCGGTTGAATCAGTCCTCAAAACACGCCTAAATTATCAGCAAAAAACAGCCTATTGTATGTAGAGAGCTTAATTCTAACCATTCCAACATAGCAGATTCTATATAGTATCTAATTCCTCTTTCCAGGTGTGCAGTATCTAATATATAGTGAAGTTATTCACGGAAATGTAATTTTTCCCTATCCTGTGTACCTAAAATTCTCGAAATACACACGTGCAAATAACAATAGTTTGATTTCACTTCGAATAGAGTTAACAATAACGGAACCGTGCAACTTAGTTACTTTACTGGCTAATAAATTTGCTCAGTAAACCCTGTTGTAACTTGTAACGCGTCTTCAGCAGCAAGCTCTATGCCGAGCAATTGGTAAGATTGCCAGATGTCGCTACTCGACTCAAAGCTAATCGACTTGATGAATCTCAGCTTTCGGTTCTATAGTCCCACAAAACGATCTTGATGTCTTGGTCGATGAATCAGAAATTATAACCTCGAGTATAATAACACGAACAGCTGAAATAACACGTTCGTGTCAATATACCCCAAAGTTAAAAATTTCAGCAAAAATCTTGAAGCTCGACGGTGTGTTCTTGAATGTAGTCATTGCCGGTAATCTAAGTTCTAACCGCCAACAACCTTCACTTTAGGAGGCACTGGACAATAAACACTTAGGAAGTTGCGTTTCTAAAGATTCCTAAATTAGCATTTTCAGCTTTTAGAAACTTCATTATTTTCTATTAGCTTGCATCGCAGTTCACACTAAGGATACACCATGGATACGAGAAGCCTGTCTAATTAGCCACACACGACGAAATGCACTAAGCTACTGACAGTTTGACAGATTACAGTTGACACCAGAGCCGGCGCAGAGCGTCGGGGTTAGTGGGGGCAGTGGGTGCGGGTAACCCCACTTTAGAATAGGGAGTATTTTGGGGGTTGTTTGTCAGTCTTACCTCGAAAGTGTGAGTTTTGAAGCCTTGATTGTAATTGCAATTTGTGCGTGTTGCCGCAAGAATAATGCATGCTTGTTGCTAGAACGCGACGCACATAAGTAGACATAGAAGTAACACAAGCATGTTCAAGACAACGTACTGCACGCCTGTTGTTGTACATATTCACACATCGCAAGCGTGTTAACAGAAACGAAATGTCCGCATTAGATCGCGTATTGAAGATAGCGCTGTTCACGCATGCGCTGCTGAAAACGCGCGTTGGCGAGCATTAGTAGCAACCTTATTGACATAAAAGTAACGTGAGCGTGTTGAAGATGCCGACGTGTTTTTCTATGCGCACGCAAAGCAAGCGCGTTGACAGACACGCATTGCACGCGTGTTGAATCTCAAGCAACTCTCGCGTGAGCAACACGCACTCGATGCAAGCGTGTTGTAGATAACGCAACGCAAGCATGTTGACGTACACGCAATGCAAGAGTGTTGAAACGCTCGCGTGTTGATAAGTTCGTACCCATGCACAATGCACATGCAGCGTCACAACTAAAGGCAGGGGCTTGTCACGCTCGCGCTAAGAACTCAGGCCAGTTACTGCATGAGCAGGGTAAGCCAATGGTGGCCTGGCCAGCCGCTGATTTCGTGTGTCATATGACCCTTATATTTTTTCCCATGAAACTACCCAAAAGAATGCGGAGTGGCATCTTCTGCATTCTCATTCGTAGAAAGCGAAGTGGCATCTGCTGCATTCTCATTCGTAGAAAGCGAAGTGGCATCTTCTGCATTCTCATTCGTAGATAGCGGAGTGGCAGCTCCTGCATTGGCATTGATAGAAAAGTAAATTAATTGAGTAAGTGAATATAATGTAAGTAATTTAATAACTTCTTCATCGTCCTGGCGATGAAGTTGCTCGTTGGCTCGAGGAAAAAGCCCCCACACTGAATATCCAGAACATCCTTACAGGCCTTTCAATGCAGCATATACAAGATGTAGAAATATCCTCAAGGATTCAAACTGGTTAAAGCATGTGGCGGCTTTGACCGCAGCAGCTGTCAGGTATTCACTCATGTTTTGAATGTGGGCAGGATGGGGAGCGGCCATGGCACCTTGGGTCAGGGAGTTAAACTGTTCGATTCCGCGCGAAGAAAAAAAATTTATTGAGCATTTCATTATATGGAGATAATACTCATGTAGTGCCATCATGTATAGGTCAGAATGGATAATTAATTTATGCAGGAGATCCACTGTACATAATGTATCTCGCCAAAATTCTTACCTGTTGAATTCCGATTTTTTTTTGCAGATACTACTGAATAAAAACAACGATGCAATCGGAGTCACATATGTTCATAAAAATAAGGCAAGTTTAACATCAGGTGAGGAATTGAGGACTTGACGATGCCAGATGAATGTGTTTGACAATACAGAGAAAGTCTTCCTTTGAAGTCAATTTACATATTTTTTGTGAAACAACTCCTCTGATTCAAAATGAAAAAGATTGCTAGTCAATGCTTCTTGTTTTGAACTTATACAATGAAACGATTTCCGATTTAAATATCTGTTTCCCACAAGCGATATAAAATTGCAATACTTATTTACACCACCAGGTATTTTAATTTAACTATTTTAAGGTATTTAATATTAGTGTAAATGGATTCCGTTTGCCTCACATGGCAATTAAATTCGAATGAAAATGGTTTTAGCTCTCATCGAACATCTGCAGTGATTGGCGCATTGATGAAATTGGATTTTCTAAAACGGGATTCAATGGATTTTCATCAAGGAAGTTTTCATACAATTTTCCACATTTTTGATCGTTCTAGGGTATAACTCAACTGAAATCAAACAAGCAAGAAAACCATTAAAAGTCTCATGAATAAATGACTGTTGTTCCTGATCAGGTGAAGCGAGTGTTCGCTATAGGGTTTAACTCAGCGGAAATCAAACAAGCAAGAAAACCAGTAAAAGTCTCATGAAGAAACGACTGTTGTTCCTGATCAGATGAAGCGAACGTTCGCTATAGAGTTTAACTCAACTGAAATCAAGCAAGCAAGAAAACCATCAAAAGTCTCATGAATAAATGACTGTTGTTCCTGATCAGGTGAAGCGAGTGTTCGCTATAGGGTTTAACTCAGCGGAAATCAAACAAGCAAGAAAACCATTAAAAGTCTCATGAAGAAACGACTGTTGTTCCTGATCAG